ATTTAACCCACTGCACCACTGGGGGCTCCTAGGTGAGGGCTAATAACATGGCTAATAATATAATAATAATAATAATAATAATAATAATAATAATAATAGTGCAAGATGTGGAGCATTTGCACTGATTCTTTAAAATTGGTGACTCAAATATTAGACATGTTATTAGGTGAGGGCTAATAACATGGCTAATATTTGAGTCACCAATTTTAAAGAATCAGTGCAAATGCTCCACATCTTGCAGTCCATCAGATGTTGTTGGACTGCAACCGGTAGCATTGTTTACCAAGGGTTATCCTAACCACGGCTTGCAGTCCAGCATCATCCAGAAGGCCACATGTTCACTGGCATAGTAAACAGTAACATTAAGAAAAAGTTAGAAGGACTTCATTTTTTTAACATCTCAACTGGCCATTTCAGCTAGTAGTTACATACTTGTAGTGGAAGAATGTAACTGTGAAAATATAACAGTTATTTTAAATATATCATGAGGAGAGTTTACATTATATTAAAAAAAACGGGAAATAAATCTGTTCCTAGTTTGAAAGTGTTACTTCCTGTTTAATTGTATGGTACTTACTTTGAAAGTAGTTGTTATACTCCAGAAACTTTGTTTTTGTGGCTTCCACAAACTATGTTGAGTTGGTTGAGACTCTATCAGATAGTTTTTGTGGCTGCCACAAATCATGTTGAATTGGTTAAGACTCAATGAGACATTCATTGAAAAACTATAGCAAAATGTGCTGCACGATGTCCTGCAAAAACAAAGTTTTTGAAGTTCAATAAACTTTTTCCAGGTTTTTATGATAGAACCAATTAGAAAATGATATTTATAACTCAGGAACAAAACCATGTGACATAGTGTTACTCTTTTTAAAAAGGAATCTGATTTGATTCCTCATGCAATATCTCAATTTCAGAGTTACATTTCAGTCAGTGTTGGAGGAAATGGCCTCCATCAGATGTAGGATTATAACTTCCAGTATCGCATATAATCAATTATGCTGCTTAAGACTCCTGGGAATTTATTCCAGCCAGGTCTGGAGGGACTCTGAATTCCCAGCCCTCGTATAGTTACATTATTTGCATGACAAGACATGCAAAGTCCTGTGAGAACAGCTAAAAGACCCATGAAATGATGCTCAGTTTTTAGAAGAAATTGCTACATACCTCACATATTTTGTAGCAGCAATACTATCACCTTATTCTACACAATTTTAGTAGAGGTTCCTCATCCAGGATGAGGAGCAGTATTATCTAATGAGCAGTAGTTCCAATTTTTAAACTTATTTTCACCAGTTATAAATGATTCTTAATAAACACATGTCTATTTTCACTTACCATATACTTCTCCTAAGTTTCTGTCAAGGTTCCGGAGCTCTGAACCCTCTAGGAAGACAGATATAATACTTAGATAAGTTTTATCCTCATATATTTTTGCAGGTAGCTGGGAAAATTCATTGCTTCCTTGAAGTTATATGTTGTTGAGACTATGATCTTAAAACACTTACTAAATGTAATTAGAATTGCTGTACGCATCCATAGAATTAGCAATATCCTCATCACCCTTTCTGCTCCCCTGACATTTATGAGGGTTGAATGAAAAGTAATGCCTCCACCTTCATAACTCCTCAATAGATGGCGTCCCCTGGGCAACGTCCTTGCAGACGGCCAATTCTCTCACACCAGAAGCGACTTGCAGTTTCTCAAGTCACTTCTGACACGACAAAAAAAAATAGATGGCAGTACTGGTATGTGGCAGATAATGGCTTGTTCAGTAGACACTCCTCTACAGTTCCATTTTGGCAGGAAGCCTTAGCATTGAATGGTTGTGTTGTTAAAGTGCAAAGTATGGAACCCTGTGCAGACGGTCGGTCAATGCAACTTAAGCAACGTGCAGTCATTGAATTCTTGATAGCAGAAGGTGTCACCCCAAAGGAGATTCATCAGAGAATGCAAGCTGTTTATGGTGATTGTGTTGATGTGAGTACTGTGCGTCGTTGGGCAAGTAAGTTTAAAGATGTTGAGGTGGGAACATCTGACTTGCGTGACAAACAAAGAGTTGGACGTCCTGTGACAGCAACCACCGAGTTTCACAAGCAAAAGGTTGACAGATTGATTCAGGACAATCATCGTATCACTCAGAGAGAAATTTCAAGCATAATTGGCATTTCACAAGAACGTGTGGGTCACATTATTGCTTTGCTTGGCTATTGGAAGATCTGTGCACGATGGGAACCTAGGATGAGAGAACTATGAGACACTGGTTGCGGAAAGAGAGTGTTGACTTCCATGACTGATTCAGAAGGCCTGTTCATCGTTGGCAGAAATTATCCAATTGTCTGGTGATTATGACGAAAAGTGAATAGTGGTCGTTAAAGAGCATATTCTAAGGATTATTTCTGCGTATGGTTTATTAAAATATTCCCATCCAAACCCGAGTAACTAAGGTGGAGGCATTACTTTTCATTCAACCCTCATACTTTCAACTTTAAGAGGATTTTGCTCTTACTCAAAAAATCACACACCTTGCACATATTTCCATTTATTTTGCATTTTGTGTGGTTATGTAATTTTAGCAGGTTGTAACATTACAATTTCTTTAAAACATTGTTTAGCCCAGTTTTCAGTTCTTCGAGGTTTCAAGTTGGCTTGCATTTGGACAAAACTGAACAAGATAAACATTTAAACACTCCGCAAATAATCTCACATACAAGGCTTAAGAAAATCGACAAACCAGAATGTTTCCACATTCTCTTGCTCTCCAACAGATTCCACGTGCACACACCTTGTTCTTGCATATGTGGATTGCGAAAGAAGTTACAAGAAAAGGGAGCTGATCTTTAAATATTACAGTGAGGATAACTCATGTCATTGTATTTCTGACTTCTAAGTACAAAAGTGAGTGCTGGACAGTGAAGAAAGCTGACAGGAAGAAAATCAACTATTGTACTTGGGGCATATCATGAGATGAGATGACTAATTGAAAAAGACAACAATGCTTATTAATGTGGAAAGCAGTAGCAGAAGAGGAAGACCACATTAGACTCATTCAAGGAAGTGTCACTTTTCAGGACCTGCGCATGGCTGTTAACAACAATGTACCTTGGAGGTCTCTCATTTGAACGGCGGTCATAAGTTGAAACCAATTTAATAGTGATGCATAACAGTGGTGTTATTTGTATCAAACTTAGAACATAGGAATAATACAAATACAGTAAATTTGCTGCTTCAAGGGAAAGAGTGAAATTAAATCACCAGTCTAGCAATTTTAAAATATTATCTGACAAGGTGTGCAAAAAAGATAGAAACATAACACTTCCATAAGAAAGCTTTGGAAAGTAGCAGCATGATTTCAATCCCTATGCATACCTTCTCTGTGCTTGGTTGTTAAATTTCAAGAAAAGGTGCCCAATTGTATAATTCACACTTGCCGCCAACAGACAAGAGTTTTTTTTTTCCCTCCCGTCCTGGACATTACACAGATATATAAACCTCACTTGCCTAGTTTCCGAAAGACCTGACATTTATTTATTTATTTATTTATTTACGACATTTATATACCGCCCTTCTCACCCCAAAGGGGACTCAGAGCGGCTTACAAGAGAGAGAGATATATATATATATATACACACACACACACACACACACACACACATACATACAATATATTATTTTGTTACCATAGTACAATATTAGTATTATATTTTACTATATTGTACTATATCATTATATTGTAATATTATTAGTATTTATTTGTTTACAGCATTTTTACCCTGCCCTTCTCAACCCCCCCCCCCGGGGGGGGGGGACTCAGAGCAGCTAACAAAGGCAGCAATTCGATGCCACAATCAATAACACAGTATAAAACCATAAATACATATAGAGTAGCAACTAATTACATTGTTATAATTAATTATAACAATTAATTATAACAATTATAATTAATTGTTATAATTAATTATAACAATAGCAATTAATTATAACCAATTATCATAACAGTCATTTAAACAATACTCAGTCCACAAACCCACTGATACAATCATAAAACCGTATCCTCATACATATCGTCTTGCCAATCCATTTCCAGTCAAAGTGCTGCTTTATGTTTATGTTTTATGTTTATGTAATATTATATGTAATATAAAATATATAATTATAATATCATATTATTATTACTATTAGTAGTAGTAGTAGAAGTAGTAGTAGTACCGTATATACTCGAGTATAAGCCGGCCCGAATATAAGCCGAGGCACCAAATTTTACCACAAAAAACTGGGAAAACGTATTGACTCGAGTATAAGCCGACGGTAGGAAATGCAGCAGCTACTGGTAGATTTCAAAATAAAAATAGATACAATACAATTACATTAATTGAGACATCAGTAGGTTAAATGTTTTGAATGTTTACATAAAACTATAATTTAAGGTAAGACTGTGGAATAATAAAATAATAAATAACCTTGACTCGAATATAAGCCGAGCGGGACTTTTTCAGCCTAAAAAAAAGGGCTGAAGAACTAGGCTTATACTTGAGTATATACAGTATATTGTATTACATTACACAAGGATGCCTGCAATCAATGTAGGTGAAATTCAGGAGAGAATGCTTCTGGAACATGGCCATACAGCCCAGAAAATTCACAGTAACCCAGTGATTCCGGCCATGAAAGCCTTTGACAATGCAATGATTGTATACTTTTCGTGATATAAATAAAAAAATTCTGATTCACAAAGTCAGGAAGAGGATTGAGAGAAATAGTTACACACAAGACAACATGTTCAGGCAATAATGGCTAGAAGAACTTAAATGTATTCTGTTTTACCATAGCTTGATATTGTCCATAAGGATATGGCTAGAGAGCAGCCTATCATGCTTTGCTTAGTGCTTTCTACACCTGTGTTCTACTAGTTCAAATAGCTTGCATGTCCTCTGTTATCTGGTTTTGACATTATAGGTAAGAGTTAAGTTTCTGTTTTGTTCCTTCCTCTTTTTCTCCAGCGAGAGAACCGCAGGCTTCAGGAAGCCAGCATGAGACTTGAGCAAGAGAATGATGACCTCGCCCATGAACTCGTAACAAGCAAAATTGCTCTACGAAATGACTTGGATCAGGTGAGAAAGTCTTCATCTGCAGCCAGGCCTGATAAGAAAGGAGAGAAATCAGTGTCATGTTCACATCTAGGAAATGGAATTGAAAGCATAGTTATTATCCTCATCCTTTAGGTGTGAATTTGAAATTAATATAATAATAATAATAATAATAATAATAATAATAATAATAATAAGTGTTCTGTTTGGATGCTACTATAAACATATATAATGGCAGAAGGAGGAAGGGGGAAAATTAGCTTTCGGTCTGCTGATAAGGACTGAAATAAACTTCTAAGCAGTGTAGGTCATAGAGATAATTTTCTATGTACTGTAGACTTTGATATTAGAAAAATTCCATATCCTTCGGATATCAGCTTCTGTTTATGTTTTGCCATAGCATCACTATCAACACCATAGTTCACCTTATGATGTTGTTGTAAAAATAAATGAAAATAAATGAGTGTAAAGTGCTGTGTGTATGACCCTAAATACTCCCAATACACTTAGACCTAGTATGCATATAGTTTTCTTCATTGGTACAAGTACTTCTACATATGTGATATTTGTTACAAAGAGATTCGGTTTCAATGTTCTTGTAGAGTCTGCATTACAGACAGTAATACAATAAATGTTGCCTTAACTACTTATGTTAAAAGTGGCAAGAATGAGGTCAACTTATATGTACAGAGACACAACACACATTGCCATGAATATGAGTTTTAAATAATAATAATAATAATAATAATAATAATAATAATAATAATAATAATAATAAGCTGCAGAAGGCCACCTTACTGGGATCTGCATGCATTATTTGCCGATACATCACACAGTCCTAGACACTTGGGAAGTGTCCTACGTGTGATCTAATTCAACAGCCAGCAGAGTGTCTGCTGTGGACTCCTCTTGTTGTGTTTCTAATAATAATGATGATGATGATGATGATGATGATGATGATGATGATGACGACGACGACAACAAAACAAAGAACTGATGGGATCACAAGCCTGAAAAAGTTACAGAAAATGAACACGTCAAATTACTCTGGSACTTCCGAATTCAGACTGACAGAGTTCTGGAGCACAATACTCCTGACCTCACTATTGTGTTAAAAAACAAAGTATGGATTGTCAATGTTGCAATCCCAGGTGACAGCAGGACTGAAGAGAAACAACTGGAAAAGCTGACATGATATGAGGAGTTAAAGATCGAACTGCAAAGACTCTGGCACAAGCCAGTCAAGGTGGTCCCAGTGGTGATCAGCACACTGGGTGCAGTGCCTAAAGACCTTGGCTTGCACTTAAACACAATCAGCACTGACAAAATTACCATCTGCCAGCTGCAAAAGGCCACTTTACTGGGATCTGCACACATTATTCGCCGATACATCACACAGTCCTAGACACTTTTTTTTGAAATTTTTATTAATTTCTCCATACAGAAATTAATAAAAATTGTCCGACGTGTGATCCAATACAACAGCCAGAAGAGTGTCTGCTGTGGACTCATCTTGTTGTGTTTCAAATAGTAGTAGTAGTAGTAATAATAATAATAATAATAATAATAATAATAATAATAATACACTTTATTTATATTCCACCTTATCTTCCCCGGAACTTACAGTTTTACATATATAAGGCAAACATTCAATGCCTTTTTAAACAGTAAACAACGACATACAGTACACAGTGGTAAAGGCCTTCCTTCCATCTCCAGCTCCATTTGGGTCTGGAGGCAATGCTCAACTCTGGCCATGGGGAGGTGCTCTTGTTCCATTTTTTCCATGCCAAGGAGACTGTTGTCCATAGACTTCTTCTATCATGTTACCGGCATGTCTGCATAGGGTGCCATTTTACCTCCCCGCCGAGGCGGTACCTATTGATCTACTCGCATTTCATGCTTTTGAACTGCTAGGTAGGCAGAAACTAGGGCTGACAGCCGGGAGCTTATCCCAACTCGTGGCTTTGAATTGCTAACCCTCCAGTCAGCAGATTTTCCTGCTGTGCATTTTACCTGCTGTGCTAGCATGGCACTAAATGCCATTTTAAGTGAGTGAATTTGTTGTATTTTAATTCTGTTTTTACCACACTGTTACTAATTGTTTTTTAACTTTTGTATTGGACTTCTAAAACGTGTCTAGTGTGGGATTATTAACCACTTTGAGTCCCCACAGGGAGAAAGGCGGGTATGAATAAAGATAATAATAATAATAATAATAATAATAATAATAATAATAATAATGAATCTTTAGGTGAGGTTACTGTCATGCTCACCACACCTGAGCTCACTACTTGGCAGCAAGAGGAGACTTTTTAAAACCACAGTTCACTTATGTCACACCTCTTTGGTGGTCATATAATATCATTGTTGGGAAATGTTGCATTTCCTCTGGTCCTTGCACACTCACTTGTTTAAGTAGATTTAAGCTCAAATGCCTTAGGGCTCTTACCTCTTTCACAGGCTTCCAAAGTTCTGAATTTCACTTACTCTGTTAGCAAACTCCTTTATATTTGGGCACCCCTTATAACTGTAAAACAAGTGTTTCCTGCTTTCAGATTTGTCACAACTCATCATGGCTTGGCTAATAAATCAGGTGTGGGTGAATGAACATTTATTTAAAATAGGCAATAATAACAGTGTCTCAAAATGTGTCCACATAGTTTTTATTTTAAGTTGACTATCCTCTATGATTCACACATACTCTTACATAAATTTCTAATTCCTCCCACCTTCCAAGCTCTCATTTCTCACTCTCAGTCATTTATTACTCTTTCCAGCACCCTCCAGCATTCTGTTTCACTCATACACACTTCATCTTTTTTTCTGTACTGCTCAAACTGTTCAAATTGACAAACACCCAGTTCAATTCCAGTAAGGTTCCCTGTGAGATAAATTGCATTATTGCAACTTGTATGTATGTGACTTTTTCAGGCTGAAGACAAAGCAGATGTTTTGAACAAGGAGCTGCTTTTGACCAAACAGAAACTTGTGGAAACTGAAGAGGAGAAGCAAAAACAGGAAGAAGAAACAGCCCAGGTAAAGTAATAATAATACCATATATACTTGAGTATAAGCCGACGCGAATATAAGCCAAAGCACCTAATTTTATCACAAAAAACTGGGAAAACTTATTGACTCGAGTATAAGCTGAGGGTGGGAAATGCATCCCCTATGGATCAATTTCAAAATAAAATTACATTAACTGAGGCATCAATAGGCTAAATATTTCTGAATAGTTACATAAAACGGTAATTTAAGATAAAACTGTACAACTCTTATTAAACCATTATTCTAACCTCCTTCAATGTAAATGTACTCATTATTAAAATAACAAAAATAATAGAGTAAAATAACATTCCATGTTCATCATTCATAGTTCTCTATTCTGCTGCATTCTCAAAAGCTTGCTCAAAGAGCCAGGTCTTAACTTTTTTCTGAAAGTCAGAAGGGAGGGGGCTTATCTAATATCCCTGGGGAGGGTGATTCATAGCTGGGGGGCCACCACTGAGAAGGCCCTGTCCTTCGTCTCTGCCAATCGCACTTGCAAGGCAGGCGGAATCGAGAGCAGGGCTTCCCCAGACAATCTTAAGCTCTTAGATGGTTCATAGGAGGCGATATATTAGAACAGGTAAGCTGGGTCGGAATCGTTTAGGGCTTTATATGAATATCAGTATTTTAGATGAAGGGATGTTAATACAAAATAAAAATGATTGCTGGGTTAGGTTGTGGACTGTCTCATTGTTTCAAAATTGGAGGGACAGCTGGTCCAGCTACAAGCTACTTATGATTATTTTACTAGGCTGTTCCTCGTTTGACTGCAACTCTGTTTTCTCTCTCATTCCAGTTGAAAGAGATCTTCAGAAAAAGGCTGGAGAAGGCGGAATCTGAAATCAAGAAGACAACTGCCATCATTGCGGAATATAAACAAGTAATGTTTTGGGTTCGGGGTTTTACTGTTTCAACTCTCCTTTCAGAATGTATGCATTTAGTGTGTGTAGAACAAGATGTTGCACTCCAGGACAGGAAAAGCCCTCTGACTTTAAACACCACACAGTTGAATGGAAAACAATCCTTTTATTGAAGATAATTAAAAAGCAGTAAGGTAAAAAAGCACTTTAAAGAAATAGGTAAATCCAATTAGGTAGGAAGATAAGCAGGAACAAATCCAATTAGGTAGGAAGATAAGCAGGGTCGTAGTCCAGCAAGTTCCATAAAAACAAAGTCAAAACTTCCCAAATAAAAGGCAAGAAATCAGGAAATGTGAATCCAAAGCATCACTCTAAAAGCATAGACCAAAACCATGAAAAAAAAGCACTTAAAACATGAATTTTCCAAGCAAGGTTTCCATGAACAAGGATGTGATCTTGACTTGATTCCAAATTATGCTTCATCTGACTACATATCTTGTACTTGGAATTTTTATCTCCTTGTTAGCTATGTCTCTWGCACTCAGAAATTGGTTTCTCTTTAGCTGAGAATTTCTTATCTTMTTCTCTCGGAGCCTGGCAGATTGCCGAATRCACTGTTCGMCTGTCCTGTTTTGACTGATCTCTTCCCATCTATRTATTTGCTCATTAACTTCTGCAGCTGGGCCAGGTGCCGAGCTATTTTCATGTTCCCTATCATGGGAGCTCTCTGGTAACAATTCAGAAAGCACACTATCATCCCCACACCCCTCAGGGACATTCTCATGGGAAACTACACTTTGCACAGGGATCTCCTGGTCATTCTTTGCATCAATATCACTGGCCAAACCATGGCCATCTTGAAACTCATCTTGCAACTCATTGCCATCATTCCTCACATCCAAAGCACCCTGATCCTGAAACACAATCACAGGCTGAGCTCCAACACAAGAATAATCTGGGCATGTTTTTCTCCAAGTACAACCCACTGATATCTAAAGTCAACCCTAAGTACTTGGCTGCTTTCCAGCAGAGTCCTGCAGCGGGCATGTTTTCTCCTTACATATGTCTGATATCTAGGTCACTTGGTGGTGCAGCGGATTAAGCCGCTGAGCTGCTGAACTTGCTGACTGAAAGGTTGGCAGTTTGAATCTGGGGAGCGGGGTGAGCTCCTGCTGTCAGGCCTAGATTCTGCCACCATAGCAGTTTAAAACATGCAAATGTGAATAGATCAATAGGTACCGCTTCAGCGGGAAGGTTATGGCGCTCCCTGCAGTCATGCTGGCCACATGACCTTGGAGGTGTCTATGGACAACACCTGTTCTTCAGCTTAGAGATGGAGATGAGCACCACCCCCCAGAGTTGGACACGACTAGACTTAATGTCAGGGGAAACCTTTACCTTTATGTCTGATATCTACAAGTTATTATCCAGTTATAAATTGCCCATCATATCCTTCACACCACTGGTTGGACAGTTCTCAATATTTTTAAGTCTTGAAAATTAGCCTTGCAAATGCTCATTAACCTACCTGTGAGAGAGTAACTCACGGCTGTCAAGGCTGTAAGAAGATTAAATGTTATGCCTCCTCAAAATAATTTCTGTTTTCTTTATGAAGTGAAATAACTCTGAAACTCTGTGTCTTCTCCTAGATTTGCACCCAATTGAGTAGCAGGCTGGAGAAACAACAGGCGGCCAATAAAGAGGAACTTGAGGTCTTAAAGGTGAGAGTAGACTTCTCTGAATCTTGAATCTGTCTCAGAGTGGTTGTACACTGTTTTACTTTTGTACATTAGTTTTAGGTCTGGATGTTGACATTCTTCCTCAACTGACTCTTTAGGTGCCATTTTTAACAGAGAGAAAAAAAATAATCAGTTGTTTTGAAAAGTTTTGTAAAACCTTTTCCACCTAATTCCAAGGAAGCCCCTTGTGTACTGGACCAGTGCCTGGCTGCTGGGATGGTCTGGATGAGGACGAATAAGTTGAGGATCAATCCTGACAAGATAGAGGTCCTCCAGGGCAATCGCAGGCCGGAATGAGGTATAGGGTGGCAACCTGTGCTTGACAGGGTTGCACTCCCCCTGAAGTCACAGATCTGCAGCTTCGGGGTCCTCCTGGACTCAGTGCCAACGCTGAAGCACAGGCGTCGGTGGTGGCTGGAGGGCCTTCTCACAATTGAAGCTTGTGCGCCAGCTGCAACTGTACCTCGTGAATTCAGATTTGACCACAATGGTTCATGCCTTAGTTACCTCTAGATTGGACTATTGCAATGTGCTCTATGTGGTGTTGCCCTTGAAGATGGCCCGGAAATTCCAACTGGTCCAACAAGCGGCAGCCAAACTACTAACTGGTGCGAATTACAGGGAGTGGTCTACCTCCCTGTTTTAGGAGCTCCATTGGCTGCCGTTTATTTTCCGGTCCCAATTCAAGGTGCAGGTACTTACCTACAAAGTCCTGAACGGTTTGGGACCCGTCTACCTTCATGACCGCATTTCCTTTGATGAACCTACACGATCCTTTCGATCTTCTGGAGAGGCCCTTCTTGCGTTCCCACCTCCATCGCAAGTGCGACTTGGGACGAGGAAGAGAGCCTTCTCTGTGGTGGCCCCTCGGCTCAGGAATTCGCTCCCCAGAGAAATTAGGCAAGCCCCCACCCTGGCAGTCTTTAGGAAGAGCTTGAAAACTTGCCTGTTCCAGTGTGCCTTCAAGGAATGATGAACTGAACTATAACCCTTACCTGACCAAACCTTGCAAAAAATGCACTTTATTTTCTAGCTACTAGTGCAATTAAACCCTACTTTCGTCCCTCTGATCCCCTGTCCATATACAATACATTGCCTTCTTACCCAGTGTTTTAAACTTTTTAATCCTCTGCCCACTGTGATTTATTTTCTGTGTTTAAATTATTGTGATTTTACATTGCTCGATGTGTTTATTTATATTGGTTCTTGTATTTTATTTTATTTTTTATTTTACTGTCGTATGTTGTTTATTTGCATTGCTGTATTGTTGGGCTTGGCCTCATGTAGGGTATAAATAAAGATGATGATGATTATTATTATTATTGTTATTATATTGTGATTCTGTGGAAAAATCCTTGACCAGTTTGTGATCTGAGATACGCTTTTTCAGGAGTTCTTGCCTTCAACACAGGGTTGATTAGAACCTTCCAATTTAGAGTTAATATTTAGAGTAAAGATAACTAATTTTCCTTTCTCTTTTAATTGTTTTATGATTGTCTGCCTCAAAGGGCAACTTTCCAAAATCCTAGTACACTGTCACAGGGCTTGTTTACACTTTTTATCAGAAACCTTTTAATGTTACCAAATTTTTCATGACCCAAACACTGAGCTAAGAGGACCCCATTTGGAGTCAGGGCCCCCAGTTTAAGAAGCCCTGATGTAGAAATATCCACAGATATGTCTGCTTTTATCATCCTGCTTGATGCTTAAAGGTTTGGTGTTCTAAATTTGAATGTCTGGCCTGCCTTTAAAAAAATGGAGCATCCCCTATTGGGAGATGTTCTAATAAAGGCCATGGCTAACTTCTCAATATTGTATAACACACTATTAGGTTGCTGTGAGTTTTCCAGGCTGTATGGCCACGTTCCAGAAGCATTCTCTCCTGATGTTTTGCCCACATCTATGGCAGGCATCCTCAGAGGTTGTGAGGTCTGTTGGAATCTAGGTAAGTAAGGTTTATATATCTGTTGAATGTCCAGTATGGGAGAAAGAACTATTGTCTACTTGAGGCAAGTGTGAATGTTGTAATTGGCCACCCTGATAAGCATTTAATGGCATTCCAGCTTCAAAGCCTGGCTGCTTCCTGCCTGGGAGAATCCTTTGTTGGAAGGTGTTCTTTCTCCCACCCTGGACATTCCACAGATATATAAACCTCACTTGCCTAGTTTCCAACAGACCTCACAACCTCTGAGGATGCCTGCCATAGATGTGGGTGAAACGTCAGGAGCTAATGCTTCTGGAACATAGCCATATAGCTAGGAAAACTCATAACAACCCAGCCTTACCTTTATTAAAAAAAATATGACCATTCATGTCATTTAATATTTGTTTCTTTGTGGATTTTACATTGCATTGTTCTTTTTTTAATGTTGTGAGCCACTTTGCATCTTGACTGTGAGATAAAAGCAGGATATAAATAAGTCCAACAACATTAACTGGTTATTGCTTTTTATGTCTTGTTGTTTTAGGGGAAGGTGATGGCTTGCAAACACTGCAGTGAAATCTTTAGTAAAGGAGACATCTTGAGAGGACCAACAGAGCCTAGAGAAAACACAGAAACTATCACAGATGATGAGAAGGATGCCCTTAAAAAACAACTAAGAGAAATGGAGCTGGATCTGGCACAGACCAAACTACAACTTGTAGAAGCCAAATGCAAAATACAGGTAATTTGAATGTATAAGTATGTTGTTACAATTACATAAGTATGTTGTTTACCATTACATCCCCTGTGCAGAGACAACTTCAAAAACTTAGGCAGTATCAAAAGTTCCCCGGGGAGTGAGTTCCACAGGCGAGGGGCCACCACTGAGAAGGCCCTGTCCCTCGTCCCTACCAGCCTCACTTGTGATAGAGGCGGGGCCAAGAGCAGGGCCTTCCCAGAAGATCTTAAACTCTGAGGTGGGACATAGAAGGAGATACGTTTGGACAGGTACGCTGGGCTGGAGCCATATAGGAGACTATGGAATAACAACCTTCCAGAATTAATAAGACTTCAAACATACAAATAAAATATATCCCAAAAGACATGAAATACTGTAAAGACAATTTTTTGTTTCCCAAAGAAACTTGATTGGTAAGGTACACATAGACCAGTGGTTCTCTACCTTCCTAATGCTGCGACCCCTTAATAAAGTTCCTCATGTTGTGGTGACCCCCAACCATAACATTATTTTCATTGCTACTTCCATAACTGTAATTTTGCTACTGTTATGAATCGTAATGTAAATATCTGATATGCAGGATGTATTTTCATTCACTGGACCAAATTTGGCACAAAATACCCAATAAGCCCAAATTTGAATACTGGTGGGGTTAGGTGAGGGGTTGATTTTGTTATTTGGGAGTTGTAGTTGCTGGTATTTATAGTTCACCTACAATTAAAGAGCACTCTGAACTCAAGCAACGATGGAATTGAACCAATCTTGGTACACAGAACCCCCATGACCAACAGAAAATACTACAAGGGTTTGGTGGGCAATGATCTTGAATTTTGTAGTTGTAGTTCACCTACATCCAGAGAGCACTGTGGACTCAAACAATGATGGATCTGGACCAAACTTGGTATAAATACTCAATATGCCCAAATGTGAACACTGGTGGAGTTTGGGGAAAATAGTCATTGACATTTGGGAGTTGTAGTTGCTGGGATGTATAGTTTACTTTCAATCAAAGAGCATTCTGAACCCCACCAATGATAGAATTGGGCCAAACTTTCCATAGAGAACCTTCATGACCAACAGAAAATACAGTGTTTTCTGATGGTCTTTGGTGACCCCCTGACACCCCCTCGTAACCCCCCCTCCAGGTCCTGATCCCCAGGTTGAGAAACGCTGATATAGACCTTCATACAGGTGGGGAAATATACTCTGGGGACAAAAACCGTTGAGGTGTTACAGTAATTACAGTAATTCTACTATTCTGAATAGTTATCTCATCTGTTTTATTGTTCAATGTCCTTTATCAGGAACTGGAACACCAGAGAGGTGCCCTAATGAGTGAAATCCAAGCTGCCAAAAACTCTTGGTTTAGCAAAACCCTGAACTCGATCAAGACAGCTACTGGCACACAGCCGCTCCAGCAGCCTCCGCTGTCATCGTCTCCCAAAGAGGGCAGCACATAGTCCCCGTTGGATGCCAAGCACCAAGAGCACACGGACAAAGCAGCTGAGGTCCCTTGAAGATTCCTCCAGAGCATTCATGGGGGAAGGGGGAGGGAGAAAGGCCGGGGAGCAGCCTCCGACCCAAGTTCCTTCAGTGTCTCTCATTAGTTCTTATGTGGCCCTTTCCAAAGAGACGTTATTTAAAGGATCTTGTTTTATGTGGAATACTTTTTTCCAGCTGCCTTGCCAAAAGCCACACCTCAGTACCTTCATATCTGACATGTTATTTTGTATGCCTAGATGGTTCATATATAGGTGACACGTAATTCAGAACTACGTGTTCCATATATTGCTTAAATTATTCATAGATTTTTAAAACTTGCGTAAGTTTTTTTTCCTTTCCTGTGACAAAAATGAGACTTGGCAGAGCAAAGTAGTGAAGAAAAAGCACATTTATCATAATGCCATGGTAGTTTCCTGGTACCTGAGAACTTCTTAATGTTTGTAGCTATCATTGCATCCTCCAAAGATGCACCTGTTGTTTTAAAGCCCAAGTCTTGAGCCACCTCTATTAACATATGGAACAAGTACATTTTGAACATGCCATACACTGATGTTTCCTTCAATGCTGCTTTTAAGAATCCCATGATTGATTCCATATGTTACAACTAAGGGAACAATCCCATTACACCTTCACTCCGGTTCTCTTTTGCCAGTCAACAGACTCGGTCATAAGTTCTCATGAGCAGTCATCTTGGAAAGTAAAAGAGACTAGTGGATGTGAACTTTTTTGTGTTGTTGCACCATTCACATTAATGTTAGCGGGGTTTGTGCAAGAGACAGGAGACATTCCTGGTAAAATCCTTAGATGAAAGGTGATCTCGCCGTTGATTGATAGAACAAATTTTTTCAGATGATCCTTGTGTCTGTTTGGTAATCATACTTGTTTTATAACTTTATAAAAGTACAAAGTAGCATTTGTTACATTTTTGAATTGAACATAAAATGTTTATAGAAATGTTTATTTCATTGAGAATTAAACTATTGCTTAAATTGATGGAAATATTTTTTTTATTATATGTAACGTGTATAATAACGTGGGACAAGTCAACATCACTACTGGATGAAAAGTTTATTGTGTAATTGGTTTTCCTGTTATGAACAGTGTTCCAAGGATATTGTCCTTCTGATTTTAATCCAAATTAATGCAATAGCTTAAAAGTCTGTTCTGTATAATAAAGTTTACTGATGTTCATTTTTGCTTGTCAGATATATTTTGCAGTTTGTCTGCCAGAGGTCACTGTGTTCCCCTACTGGCATGCGTGCCATAGGTTTGCCACCACTGGCTTAGAATATCCTATTTAACTAACTTGCCGAAATGGAGGAGGTATTCCATTGCCAATCAGTTGGAGAGCTGTGGTGCCATCATGTTCTTAAATATCAATCAATCAGCGATGCCTTTATTACAGTCAACAAACCATAAAACAATACAATCTATATAAATAAAAATGTAATGTTCATTTGTGGGATTATCATATAACTCAAAAACCACTGGATGCATTGACACCAAATTTGGACACAAGACACCTATCAGGCCACCGAGTGACCATCACTCATAAAAACACTGAAAAACACAACAGAAGGGACTTAGAAAGCCAAAAACACAAAAAAATACATTACAACGCATATACAAAACCATATATATATATACACACAAACACATATATACACACACATATATGCATATACACACACAAAACACATACACAGAAAGGGGGAAGGAAGGAGAGAAGGAGGGAAAGAAAGAAGGGTAGAGAAGGAAGGAGAGAAAGAGGGAAAGAAGGAGGGAAAGGGAGAAAGAAGGAAAGAACGAAGGGTAGAGAAGGAAGGAAGGAGAGAAGGAGGGAGAGAAAGAGGGAAAGTAGAAGGGAAAGGAGGGAAGGAGAGAAAGAAGGAAAGAAAGAGGGGTAGAGAAGGAAGGAGAGAAGGGAGAGAAGGAAGGAAAGAAAGAGGGAAGGAGAGAAGGAAATAAAGTGAAAGAGGGAAGGAAGGAAGGAGAGGAGGAATGAAAGAAAGAGGAAGGAAAGAGACAAGGAAGGATGGAACCAATGAGCAAAGGAAGCGAGAAAAGATACAGGTAGAGAAGGAAGAAAGAAGGGAAAGAAAAAGAGGGAAGAAAGGAAAGAGGGAGGGAAAGAAGGAGAGAAAGAAAGAAGTAGAGAAAGAGGGAGGGAAGGTTGGCCACAGCAACGTGTGGCAGGTACAGCTAGTACTTATATAAATCTTACACACATCTAGAAAGAAGTGTGCACACTGTACTGGGAAACAGAAACAGGCCATATTGGGATGGTACAAAAGAATATAATTAACAGCATGGAAATACACTGTAAAATTGCTTAATAAAATGTGTTTAGATACAATTAAATTCCAAACAATTATATGAATTGAATGCACATTAAAGCTACACAGCCTTATTACCAGTAAGCAATAATTTGATATCCCTCCTGTTCCTGGAACTATGATGTCCAAGTAACACCTAGCATGTTTGGTCCATTTCTACAACTACAAGCTTATTACAGACCCAAGTAGCTTGACTGTCAAAGATCCTCACAAGAAGATACATTAGGGAATGTGCATACAGATTAATGCAAAGGCTAGTTTCACCTGAGTCTGGAGCAGGAAGATTTCTTATATTGGCTACCTCCAAGAGAAACTTGGCAATGGACAAAGTCACATGGGGAAAATTATCATCCAGTGAAAACTTGATATAGGAAGGTTGCTCAATAGTGGGTTGATAATATGTTGTAAAACCTGCTTGTAAAACCTGCAGGTTTGACACTTCCTGGTTACTGTATGGGAAAGGTCTTGCACTATATGGATGCTCTTAAGTAGCAATCTGCAATACGTGGATGAATAATAACAACTCAAATATTTTTATGTATGGATAACAAATAAACCATTTTGAAGTGCTATGCACAATTCTGAATATTAGCTTATATTTAACTCATCAATACTTGCATTTTAACTATCAAAAGGAAAGCAAAACATTCTAAGGGATGTCATTTAAATCCTCCGCTTTCTCATCACAACAGGAAAAATAAGTGGACACCTGAAAGTGGAAAAAGGGTTAAAGATATACAACAGATTTCATGTGGGGCCAGTGTTGAATGATAGGTTAATATCACTTCCTGCTCCTGAACCCCTGTGCAGTTGTGACCAGGTTCAGAGCTCCAAACTGTAATTTTCTTTTTAAAATTGGACTTAAGTTTTTTTCCATTTATTTTATAATAAAAACACAATTGCATCGTTATATTGATTATTCCCAACCCTATGCTCTCCCATCCCACCATCATCATACACATAACTTTGTACAGTTCTCTTGCTTTTAGTTATAGGCAGTCCCCAAGTTAAGATAGCTTTAAAAATGAGGGCGAAAGGCGCCCCTGAAGTTTTCCCAATTATAGTAATTTATGCGCAATTACTGTAACCAAATTTCGTTATAGTAACGAATTTTTCCACTAATTGTACTTTAGAAACACTTTAGAAATGAAATGCTAGCACCTCCCAGTTTTGTAATAACTTTTGAAACATTTTTAAATGGATCAGACATCCCTAGTGTTCACCTTTCCCTATAGAATCATACAGTTGAAAAAGATCTCATGGGCCATCCAGTCCAACCCCCTGCCAAGAAGCAGGAAAACTGCATTCAAAGCACCCCCGACAGTTGGCCATCCAGTTGCTGTTTAAAAGCTTCCAAAGAAGGAGCCTCTACAAAACTCCAGGGCAGAGAGTTCCACTGCTGAACGGCTCCCACAGTCAGGGTGTTCCTCCTAATGTTCAGATGGAATCTCCTTTCTTGTAGTTTGAAGCCATTGTTCCGCATCCTAGTCTCCAGGGCAGCAGGAAATAATAATAATAATAATAATAATAATAATAATAATAATAATAATAATAATCTCCCCTGTGGGGACTCGGAGCGGCTTACATGGGGCGAAGCCCGAACAACATATTACAGCAATAAAATCAAAACATAAACAACAAATAACAACAACATCAAAATTACATTAAAAATGCAGTCATAAAATAACATTCTAATAAACACAATCACGATAACGATAACAATGGGCCACCTGAGGGTGGGTGACCGGGACAGAATAGGGATTCTGTTAGTGTACCGTCCACCTCGCTGCACTACAGTCTCCCTACCTGAGCTAGCGGGGGTGGTCTCGAGCCTGGCGGTGGAGTCCCAACGGCTTCTTGTGCTGGGGGACTTCAACATCCACGCCGAGGCAACCCTCACAGGTGCGGCTCAGGACTTCATGTCCGCCATGGCAACCATGGGGCTGTCCCAACGAATAACTGGCCCCACCCACTGTGCTGGACACACATTGGACTTGGTTTTCTGCCAGGGATGGGAGCAGGGTGGCGGTGTGGAGGAGTTGGCCATCTCTCCGTTGCCGTGGACCGACCACTTCCTGATTAGATTTAGACTCACTGCGCCCCCTAACCTCCGCAGGGGTGGAGGACCCATTAAGATGGTCCGCCCCAGGAGGCTAATGGATCCGAATGGATTCCTGACGGCTCTTGGGGATTTTCCCGCCACCTCGGTAGGTGACCATGTCGAGGCCTTGGTCGCTCTCTGGAATGGGGAGATGACTAGGGCAATTGACATGATCGCTCCGGAACGTCCCCTCTCAAGTAACCGAGCTAAACCAGCCCCTTGGTTCACTGAGGAGCTGGCAGCGATGAAGCGAAAGAAGAGGGGTCTAGAGAGCGTGTGGCGCTCGGATCCAAGCGAGCCAAATCGAACACGGTTTGTGTCCTTTTTAAGGGCATATGCCGCGGCAATAAAAGCCGCAAAGAAAACTTTCTTTGCGGCCACTATTGCGTCTGCAAAAAACCGTCCGGCGGAGCTGTTTCGGATTGTCAGAGGTCTTTTAACTCCCCCTATCCCAGGTGGGAGCCCTGACAACTCGGCAGCGCGCTGTGAAGCATTTGCTCGGTTCTTTGCAGACAAAGTCGCTTTGATCCGCTCTGGGCTGGACGCCACATTAAATGCAGTCTCTGTGGATGTGACACAAGCACCTGCTTGTCCTATTTTGTTGGATTCTTTTCAGTTTGTGAAACCCGAGGATGTGGACAAGATACTTGGAGGAATGAGGCCCACCACGTCCATCCTAGACCCCTGCCCATCCTGGCTTCTGAAGGAGGCCAGAGGGGGATTGGCCGAGTGGGTAACGGTGGTGGTTAATGCCTCCCTCCGGGAAGGCAAGATTCCAGCGAGCCTAAAACAGGCTGTTATAAAGCCGCTGTTGAAGAAACCATCATTGGACCCCACTAAATTGGACAACTTTCGGCCTGTTTCCAATCTTCCCTTCTTGGGCAAAGTCATGGAAAGCGTGGTGGCCTCACAACTCCAGGTATTCTTGAGAGACACGGATTATCTGGATCGGCACAGTCTGGTTTCAGACCGGGACATGGTACCGAGACGGTCTTGGTCGCCTTAGTGGATGATCTGCGCGGGAGCTCGACAGGGGGAGTGTGTCCCTGTTGGTGCTTCTGGACCTCTCAGCGGCCTTCGATACCGTCGACCACGGTATTCTTCTGGGGCGCCTTGCAGAGATGGGTCTCGGGGGCACTGCGCTGCAGTGGCTCCGATCATTTCTGGAGGGTCGTACCCAGAAGGTGTTATGGGGGGACTCCTGTTCAGCGCCACGGCCGTTGACCTGTGGCGTTCCTCAGGGTTCCATCTTGTCCCCCCTGCTGTTTAACATCTACATGAAGCCGCTGGGTGAGATCATCCGGAGTTTCGGGGTGCGGTGTCACCTGTACGCAGATGACGTCCAACTCTGTCACTCCTTCCCACCTGCTACTAAGGAGGCTGTCGAAGTCCTGAACCGGTGCCTGGCCGCTGTAACGGTCTGGATGAGGGCGAACAAACTGAAATTAAATCCAGACAAGACAGAGGTACTCCTGGTCAGTCGTAAGGCCGAACAGGGTATAGGGTTACAGCCTGTGCTGGACGGGGTCGCACTCCCCTTGAAGGCGCAGGTTCGCAGCTTGGGTGTGACCCTGGACTCATCGCTGAGCCTGGAGCCCCAGGTTTCAGCGGTGACCAGGGGAGCATTTGCACAGCTTAGGCTCGTGCGCCAGCTGCGCCCGTATCTTGGGAAGCCGGACTTGGCCACGGTGGTACATGCTTTGGTCACATCCCGCCTTGACTACTGCAACGCTCTCTACGTGGGGCTGCCCTTGAAGACGGCCCGGAAGCTTCAGCTAGTCCAACGCGCGGCAGCCATGTTGTTAACGGGAGCAGGACGCAGAGAGCATACAACGCCCCTGCTGTCCCAGCTCCACTGGCTGCCGATTCGCTACCGGGCCCAATTTAAGGTGCTGGTGTTAGCCTACAAAGCCCTAAACGGTTCCGGCCCAAAATACCTTGCAGACCGCATCTCGGCCTATGAGCCCACGAGGGCCTTGAGATCGTCTGGGGAGGCCCTTCTCTCGATCCCGCCTGCCTCACAGGCACATCTGGCGGGGACGAGAGAGAGGGCCTTCTCGGTGGTGGCCCCCCGGCTGTGGAACACCCTCCCTGTTGACATCAGACAGGCGCCCTCCCTTGATGGCCTTTCGTAGGAGCCTGAAAACTTGGCTCTGCGAGCAGGCCTTCAACTAAGTGTATCTGTGGAACGACGTTAGAATGGATTATGACTACGAACTTGGCTATGACCCCAGGATTAGACGAAGCGGATTTTTAGTATAAGTATATGTCGTAGTAGTAGTTTGTTATGTACTGTTATGATTTGTATGCTGTCTTTCTATGTTGCTGTTCACCGCCACGAGTCGCCCCTAGGGCTGAGAGTGGCGGTCAATAAGTGCAAGAAATAAATAAATAAATAAATATATATATATATATAAATGTTCTGTACATAATGAGTACCTTAAAAACAAAAGGCCCAATGAACGAAATCACACCAAATTTGACAACAAAATGTCTCACTACACAAGGAGTGCCCATCAATCAAAAATTATGATTTTGTCATTTTGGAGTTGTAGTTGCTGGGATTTATAGTTCACCTATAATCAATGAGCATTCTGAACACCAACAATGGAATTGAACCAAACCTGGTACACAGAACTCCCATGACCAACAGAAAATACCAAAAGGGTTTGGTGGGCATTGACCTTGAATTTTGGAATTGTAGTTCACCTCCATCCAGAGAACACTGTGGACGCCAACAATGATGGATCTGGACCAAACTTGACAGGAATACTCAATATGCCCAAATGTGAACACAGATGGAGTTTGGGGGAAATAGACCTTGACATTTGCGAGTTGTAGTTACTGGGATTTATTGTTCACCTACAATCAAGGGGCATTCTGAACCCAACAACGACAGAATTGGGGCAAACTTACTGTGTTTTCTGGTGATCTTTGGTGACCTTCTGACACCCCCCTGGTGACCCCCGGGGTCTTGACTTCCCAGATTGAGAAATGCTACCTTAAGGCCATCCAGTCCAACTCCCTTCACCAGGGCAAGAAAACATAATCACAGCTCTCCCGACAAAGGGCCATCCAGCCATTCACACATACACATATATGTATATGACAGATTCAGTATCAAAGATTTGAAAGGGACCACTAAAGAAGGAGAATGATATCTTGCATGTTCCAGAGTAGGCAAACCAAACAATCTCCACATCAACACTGGCAAAGAAACAGCAAGAAATCCTGTTTACTCACAAGCAGAAAGAAATTACATATATTAGAAACCAACACTTTCCCATTACTTTTTTCCCAGATCACCAGACTGGGCCACAGCAATGCGTGGCAGGGGACCGCTAGTACAGGATAAGAACAATTAAAGGACTGAAATAAAATAAAATAGGAGGAGGACAATTACGGGGGATTCATAAAATACGTAGAATTGTGAGGCTAAACATCCCATTTGGAGGTGCGAGCTCCAGTAGCAAAAACGTTGGGGGATGCAAAATGTCGTGGTGTGCACCTAATCACCAAAGGCGCAGCGGAAGAACCAAGTTTTACGGTTCTTTTTAAACATTTCTAGTGAAGGGGCTTGCTCCCTCCTCCCTATGATTTCCTCTCACATATTTATGCATGGCTATCATGTCTCCTCTCAACCTTCTCTTCTTCAGGCTAAACATGCCCAGCTCTTTAAGCCGCTCCTCATAGGGCTTGTTCTCCAGACCCTTGATCATTTTAGTTGCCCTCCTCTGGACACATTCAAGCTTGTCAAGATCTCTCTTCAACTGTGGTGACCAGAATTTGACACAATATTCCAGGTGTGGTCTAACCAAGGCAGAAGAGAAGGGTAGCATGACTATGCTATCCAAAGCTAATCTATATATATATTAGGCTGGAGTTACACATAAAATGTACCTGTTCCGACTTACAAGCAAATTCAACTTAAGAACAAACTTGAGGATTGGCTGTGTACATTCTGTATGACTTGCAATGTTAAAAGAACGCTGAGAGGAGAGGCGTCTTTGGGAGGAAAGCGGCCTTATGGGAGCTCCATGCTCTCCCCAATCCTTCCTCTTGTTCCTCACTTGGGGCCTGCCTGTATCTGTATTTATAGAGACAACTCTCTTGCAGGCCTACTCTGTGAAATGCTTGGGATACGGAAAACTCAAGGGAAATACCTCAGGAAACAGAGGGGAGAACTATCGACCTCTCCACTGAAACTTTCTGCTTCCCCGGCACAAACCCGGAAATCCGGCAGGCAACAAGCCTCTTGCCAGCCCAGCTTTGGTCGTTTCCGGCCAGAGCGCGCCTTCCCTATTGGCTGGGAGGTCAGGAGGACAGTGACGTCATTGGCAGTGACGGCGCGCGAGGCAAGCTCGAGAGCGGCGCGAGGAGGCTGGCTTTTGCTCCTTTATTCCGCAGCCGCCCTCGAGATGGAGGAGGTGAGCATGCGCCGAGGGGGAGGGAAGGGTCGCTGGGCCTCAGGAAGGAGGGGCGGGTGGGCCTCCAAAGGAGTCTCTGGAGGGCAGTGGGGCGGAGGAGGATATACAGGGCTCACAGACCCCGAAGCAGGGGTTTCTGGTTGAGGTCTGGCCCCAGTTAGAAGGCACCCCAAAGGCCATCCAGTCCAAACCTCTGCCAGGCAGGAAAAGCACAATCAGAGCAGCCCCAACAGATGGCCATCCAGCCTCTGTTTAAAGGCCTCCAGAGAAGGAGATCAATTGATAGAATTATAGAGTTGGAAGAGACTATGTGGGCTATCTAATCCAACCCCCTTCCAGGCAGGAAAAACACCATCAAAGCACCCCTGACAGATGTCCATCCAGGCTCTATTTAAAGGCCTCCAGAGAAGGACATTGATAGATAGAATCATAGAGTTGGAAGAGACCATGTGGACCAATCTGTCCAACACCCTGTCAGGCAGGAAAAGCACCATCAAAGCACCCCTGACAGATGGCCATCCAGCTTCTGTTTAAAGGCCTCCAGAGAAGGAGATCAATTGATAGAATTATAGAGTTGGAAGAGATCATGTGGGCTATCTAAGCCAACCCCCTGTCAGGCAGGAAAAACACCACCAAAGCAACCCCGACAGATGGCCATCTAACCTCTGTTTAAAGGCTTCCAGAGAAGGAGAGTGATAGAGTTGGAAGAGTCCTTTAGAAAAGGGGATCGATAGATAGAATCTTTAGAGTTGGAAGAGGACACATAGGCCATCTATTCCAACCCCCTGCCATGCAGGAAAAGCACAATCAAAGCAGCCCCAACAGATGGCCATCCAGCCTCTGTTTAAAGGCCTCCAGAGAAGGAAATCGATTGATAGAATTATAGAGTTGGAAGAGGCCATGTGGGCCATCTAGTCCAACGCCCTGCCAGGCAGGAAAAACACCATCAAAGCATCCTGCCAGCCAGGACAAACACCATCAAAGCACCCCGAAAGATGGCCATCCAGACCCTGTTTAAAGGCCTCCAGAGAGCGAGATCGATAGATAGAATCATAGAGTTGGAAGAGGCCACATGGGCCATCTAGTCCAACTCCCTGCCAGGCAGGAAAAGAACAATCAAAGCAGCCCCGACAAATGGCCACCCAGCTTCTGTTTAAAAGCCTCCGAAGAATAAGCTTCCACCACACTCTGAGGCAGAGAGTTCCACTGTTGAACAGCTCTCACAGTCAGGAAGTTCTTCCTAATGTTCAAGTGGAATTTCCTTTCCTGTCATTTGAATATATTGCCACAAGTGGCACTACCTAAAAGAATCCCACACCTTATGTGACTGTGGAGCAGAACAGACAACTCCGCATCTTTATGCTTGTCCACTATGCCCTGCCTCATGCACAGAGGAAGAATTGTTGGAGGTTACAGACAATGCCATATTGTTGCCTGTTTTTGGTTAAAAGATATTTAGCCACCTGTGCTCCTTCTATTTTTATTGGTTTTATACTAGTTTATGCAATGCTTTTGATACGAAATAATAATAACTGGCCCAAGTGAGCAGTGGGGTGCCACAAGGGTCTGTCCTGGGCCCAGTGCTGTTCCACGTATTTACCAATGACTTGGATGACAAAATAGAAGGCATGCTTATCAGATTTGCAGAGGAAAGAAGGCTGAAAGGGGGCATGATAGCTATGTTTATATATTTGTACGGAAGTCAAGTTGAAGACGCGGCAAGCTTCTTTGCATTATCGTAATGCATTATCATTTGGATACATTTGTGTCTCGGCAAGCTTGTTCAGTTTGCTGATCTTTGCTAACAAGTCATTGCTGATTAAGCAGTCACAAATCTCAGTCTGAAGACATATGTCAACGTCTTGCATTGTCAGCTTAACTACAGGAATGAAATTCTGCAGTGCCACTCCCAGAAAAACCTACCTTGCAGCCTGACCAAAAGATTTCTGTTGTGCTAGATATCTGGGTCCTGAGGAATAGCCTTTGCAGTGTCCGATCGTGTGTCACGTGTCAGAAGCGACTTGAGAAACTGCAAGTCGCTTCTGGTGTGAGAGTATTGGCCGTCTGCAAGGACGTTGCCCAGGGGACGCCCAGACGATTTGATGTTTTATCATCCTTGTGGGAGGCTTCTCTCATGTCCCCGCATGAGGAGCTGGAGCTGACAGAGGGAGCTCATCCGCCTCTCCCCGGATTAAAACCTGTGACCTGTCGGTCTTCAGTCCTGCCGGCACATGGGGTTTAACCCATTGCGCCACCCGGGGCTCTGCAGTGTCCGATGACAACTAGTTATTGCCCTGTGCCAAACTGGTGGGAGTGAGCTGGAGCAGTCATCCTTCAGGCTCTCACTAAACATTACTGCAGAACACCTTTGGTTGGTGCAGTTGCCTGGCTTTTCAGGAGGGTTTGGGGGAGGCATTTGTGATCATGGCAACCAGGCCCGTAGCCAGGATTTCGATTTGGGGGGGGGGGGGGTATGGGGGGGGGGCTGAGTTTCAGGGGGGCTGAGTCTGAGTGAAAGAGGGTCTACCCTAGCAAACCTTTTGTATCATTACCCCAATACCCCCATGCATATGGGATATATTGAGTATGGTGATCAGATCATGATATGAATAAACATAACAGTTTAAATAATGCACCAGTAAGGCCTTTTCGCAACCACCATGAGAATTTCGGGGGGGGGGCTGAAGCCCCTCAAGCCCCCCCCCCCCCCCCCCGGCTACATGCCTGATGGCAACCATAGCATGGTATTTGCAATATAAAGTATAAAGGCCAGCATGGTGTTGTGTTCAAGTGTTGTCTTAGAAGTCCAGGAGACCAGAATTTGAATCTCTCTTCAACCCCCCCCCCCCCAAATAATCCACTGAGTGACTTTGGGCAAGTGACACTGTCTCAGCTTCCATAGAGGGTAAAAGCAAGCACCCCTCTGAAGAAATCTTACCAAGAAAACTCCATGATAGTTTCACCTTAGGGTTGCCATAAGTTGGAGATGACTAGAAAGCACACAAGAAGTCTGACTTACGATATTAACAGAGTGCTGTATTGTGACAGAGGATAAACAGGAACTGTGCCAGTATTTTTACTCAACTTGCCAGTGATTTTAAATAGATTTAAGCATAAAACATCCAAGCTTAAACTTGCACAGGTTAGAGAACCCCCTCCATTCCAGGCAATACACTCCAGTTGCTTTCCTCTTGCCCATCAAGAAGAAATACATCCAATTTATTCTTCTGCTCCTATCTCTACCTTGTAAGTAAGGAAAGGAAATTGCATCCTTTCAGCAATGCCAAGGTCGAAGGTGTTCACTTCCTGTATGCATTGTTGTTATTGTTGTAGATGATGAATTTATTTATGGAGAAAGGTAAATTCGAAATATTGTAAATCAGGACAACAACATTTGATATACACCTGTAGTTTTATGATGCAAAGGAAACTGTGTATAATGGAGTTGTGTACCCATTTTTTTCCATGTAGCTACAGAAAGATTTGGAAGAGGTGCAAGAGCTTTTGCAAAAGGCATCACGAAAGAGACTCCATGATGTTTTGCTGTCGGAAAAGGTTAAGATAGAGAAAGAAATCAAGAGCCGATCACAAGTTAAACCGAAAGCGGGTTCATCTGAAGAAAAACAACTACTCGCAGGATACAAAGTCAAAATCAAAAATTATGGTAGGAGGAATTTAGCCATTCTTTATACTGATATAGTCAGAAGTGGGGAATGTTTTAGCGATCACTTCCCAGTATGTTGTTTATATCCTATTTGTGAACTTTCAAGGGAAACACCAATTCGGATTTATTTTTATCGACGGAATATGAATCATTCTTTATTTATAGAAGGATAAAGTTACTGTTCAGAGGAGCTGCAGTTTGCCTATGTCAGGCTACATTATAGTATATACTAGCTGTACCCTGGCCTCAGAAAACATGTCAACCTCACAAACTAACATTACATTTTTATTTATATAGATTAAATGGGGATACTAAATGAGTCATTTAAGGAGAAGGAAGGGCATTTGGGTGTTCTTCTAACAAACCATGATGGTGATGATGATGCTAAGCTTTCTTACATCTAGGTTGGCTCTCAGACATATAATAACACTTTGTAACACAGTTTTTGTTCCTGGACTATAAATGTCATTTCCTAATTGATTCTATCATCAAAACATGGAAAAAGTTACTTAAACTGCAAAAACATCCTTTAGCAGATTTTGCTATGGTTTTTCAAATAATATCACTTAGATTGTCATCCATTTCAGCTGTTTATGGCAGCCACAAAAACAAAGTCTCTGGATTGTAACAACTACTTTCAAAGTATGTACTGCACAGTTAAACAGGAAATAACATTTTCAAATCAGGAACAGAATTAATTTTCAAATTGTGTTACATAGTGTAATATTCAGATAGTCTTTGACTTAAATCAGTGTTTCTCAACCTTTCAAATGCCGCAACCCCTTGATACAGTTTCTCATGCTGTGGTGACCGCCAACCATAAAGTTATTTTCGTTGCTACTTCATAACTGTAAAGTTGCTAGTGTTATGCATCGTCATGTAAATATCTGATATGCAGGATGTATTTTCATTCACTGGACCAAATTTGGCACAAATACCCCATATGCCCAAATTTGAATACTGGTGGGGTTGGGGGGGGGGGGGGGGGGGGGGGGGGAGGATTGATTTTGTCATTTGGGAGTTGTAATTGCTGGGATTTATAGTTCACCTACAACCAAAGAGCATTCTGAACTCCACCAACAATGGAACTGAACCAAATTGGCACACAGAACTCGCATGACCAACAGAAAATATTGGAAGCGTTTGGTGGGCCATTGACCTGAGTTTTGGAGTTTTAGTTCACCTGCATCCAGGGAGTACTGTGAATCTGGACCAAATTTGACACAGATACTCAATATGCCCAAATGTGAACTCTGGTGGAGTTTGGGAGAAATAGACCTTGACATTTGGGAGTTGTAGTTGCTGAGATTTATAGTTCATCTACAATCCAAGAGCATTCTGAACCCCTTCAACCATAGTGTTGGGCCAAACTTCTCACATAGAATGTCATGACCAACTATGAACCCTATGAACCACTGCAGAGATTAAGATCTTCTGGGGAGGCCCTTCTCTTGGTCCCGTCACCATCACAGATGCGTTTGACAGGGACGAGAGACAGGGCCTTCTCAGTGATTGCCCCTCGGCTATGGAACTCCCTTCCTAATGAGATCAGGTCAGCCCCCTCCCTCTTGATCTTTAGAAGGATGATAAAAACGTGGCTGTGGGACTGTGATAGGAACCCTTAGTATGCCAACCAAATTTGATATAGTTGTTGAGACAGTTTTTAACTAGAGGATTTTAACGTCAAGATAAGTGATTTTATTGTTTTTTTTTATGTGTATGGTCTAGTATGTTTCGGCATTGAATGTTTGCTGTTTATATGTTGTGTTCTGCCATGAGTCCCCTCCAGGGTGAGAAGGGTGGAATATAAATGCTTAAAATAAATAGTAAATAAATAAACAGAAAAAACAGTGTTTTCTGATGGTCTTTGGCGACCCCTCGGACACTCCCTCGCAACCCCCCAGGAGTCCCGACCCCCAAGTTGAGAAACACTGACTGAAATGAAGTGTTATTTCTACAGGCATTCCTGGTTAGCATTTCATCAATTATTTTTCATCTGAGAGAGATTTTACGTGTATTTATGATTGTGGTGGGGTTTTAAAAGCTTGTATGGGGATTGGAAACGAGTTCCCACTTTTATTCACCAGAGAGTCCCTTTAGCACTTATGTATGTAACACATAGCTTTCTTTTAATCCCTGTAGCTTGGGATCAGTCAGACAAGTTTGTGAAAGTCTACATCACTTTAAGTGGAGTTCAGCATCTTCCAGCCGAAAATGTGCAAGTCTGCTTCACAGAAAGGTGGGTGCTAAACACTACAAGGTATAGACTGGTGGTTCTCATAATGTATTCAGTCATTAGTTCCGTGCTAATCATGTGAAGATGTTTCAAAAGCTTATGAAGGACCTCAGTAGTTGAAAATACTTTTTCAATCTGATATTTGAACACATTAGTCCCCTTTGGGGTGAGAAGGGCGGCATATAAATGTTGTAAATAAATAAATAAATAAATAAATAAATAAATAAATAAATAAATAAATGCCAGTTTACAAGGTCAAATTAATAGTACTCAAGTCATTACGTGTATCACTCGTGTCACTTCCATGCTCCAGGTCTGATGGCATATGCAAATAACTCAGGGGAAAAGGAGTGGCTTTCTTCAAGGCGTTTACAGATAGTAAAACCTCAGGAGGCAAATAATTCCCATTTCTCCATGGCAGTAAAATGAAGGCGGTGTCACTTCCACGCCGCAAACTGTGTACTTTGTACCTCCTGCAGCTTGGAGGAAGGCCGGTAATTTCATTGCTTCTAGAATTTTGTAGGAGGCAAAATCTGTGTTTTATATTGCTAGTATTTTTTGTGTGTTAGGAGCGACTTGAGAAACTGCAAGTCGCTTCTGTTGTGAGACACTTGGCCATCTGCAAGCATGTTGCCCAGGGGACGCCCAGGTGTTTTACCATCCTGTGGAAAGCTTCGCTTATGTCCCCGCACGAGAAGCTTGAGCTGACAGAGGGAGCTCACCCCGCTCCCTGAATTTGAACCGCTGACCTTTTGATCAGTAATCCTGCTGGCACAAGAGTTTAACCCAGGGGTCCCCAAACTAAGGTCCAGGGGCCAGATACGGCCCTCCAAGGTCATTTACCCGGCTTTCGCTCAGGGTCAACCTGAGTTTGAAACGATTTGAAAGCACACAACAAAAACAACAATCCTATCTCATCAGCCAAAAGCAGGCCCACGCTTCCCATTAACATACTAATAAGTTTATATGTGTTAAAATTGCTCTTAATTTTAATTATTGTATTGTTTTAAAGTGGGTTTTTTTCTGCACTACAAATAAGATATGTGCAGTGTGCATTGGAATTCATTCATTTTTTTTGCAAATTATAATCCGGCCCTCCAACAGTTTGAGGGACTGTGACCTGGCCCTCTATTTAAAAAGTTTGAGGACCCCTGGTTTAACCCATTGCACCACTGGGAGTTCCTATATTGCTAGTGGTTTATGCTGATGCAACAGTGCAAGCGGATTTATCAAATCCTGGTTGTTATTTTGTTCCTGGAGTGGATACTTGATAGTAAAGACCACAAGATATAAATAAGGCTGGATCTACACTGTTCTATATTCCAAGATCTGATCCCAGATTATCTGCTTATCCCAGATTATCTAGCAATGTAGATTGAATTGAATTGTTTATTGTACTAGCCATAGGCCATGACATAAAATATACAGCCTTTAAAAATACAATACGCACTTTCCAATATAAATATTAAAACATGTTTCGTATACTGGCTCTTTAAAATTATAGTAAGTAGTGACATGATAACAATTACAAATGTCTGATTTGTATCATCCCAAAATATTTCCGTTTCTAGTTTCTAGCTTCTGCTGTGGACTTTACTAGCAATGTAGATTCATATAATCCAGTTCAAAGCAAATAATCTGGGATCAGATCCTGGGATATAGGGCAGTATAGATCCAGTCGAAGAGACCTTGATCTATTCTTGGGAGTGATCCTGGACTCATTGCTGACCCTGGAACCCCAGGTCTCGGCGGTGGCCGGGAGAGCTTATGCACAATTAAAACTTGTGCACCAGTTGCACCCATACCTTGGGAAGTCTGATCTGGCCACAGTGGTCCACGCTCTTGTTACATCCCGAATAGACTACTGCAACGCACTCTACGTGGGGTTGCCCTTGAAGACTGTTTGGAAACTTCAACTGGTCCAGCGAGTGGAAGCCAAACTACTCACCGGAGTGTCATACAGGGAGCATACCAACCCCCTGCTGTGTCAGCTTCACTGGCTGCCGGTTCAGTTCCGAGCACAATTCAAGGTGCTAGTTTTGACCTACAAAACCCTGTACGGTTCCGGTCCAGTGTATCTGTCCGAACGTATCTCCCTCTACATCCCACCCCGGAGTCTGAGATCATCTGTGGAGGCCCTGCTCTCGACCCCACCGCTATCACAAGTGAGGTTGGTGGGGATGAGGAGCAGGGCCTTCTCGGTGGTGGCCCCTCAATGGTGAAATTCACTCCCGGGAGAAATTAGGGCATCAACATCCCTCCTCTCCTTCAGGAGGAAAGTAAAGACGTGGTTGTGGGACCAGACCTTTGGGCAATCTGATAACTAGATAAGGACAATCAAACGACTAGGACTGACAGGACTGACAATGTGGAATTGGAAATTGGACTATGAGATAGCGAACGCTGACCGTCTATGAGGAGTAATTGGGATTGTATTGTTTATTGGTTTTAGGGTTGTAATGCAGGAATTGTTGTTTAACTGTTCAACTGTTTAACTGTTTTATTGATGTTATTTTGTTTTACTACTGTTATGTGATGCTGGCATCGAATTGTGCCTTTGTAAGCCACCCTGAGTCCCCTTCGGGGTGAGAAGGGCAGGGTAGAAGAAACCGATATATATATATATATATATATATATATATATATATATATATATATATATATATATATATATATATATATATATTTCTGGTTCTACTCTTCAAATTGAAGACTGTCTCCCCTTCAGTGAACTGGGCATGGAAAACCCCTAGAAAAATAACTTTTATTTGACCTTATATGGCTGGGGCCTCCCAAGTTATGGAATGTACTGACTATTTTACCCAAAGGTCTGCTTTTCCAGTAATTGAGATTAACTGGATTTCTGATGTGAAGTCTTAGGTTTTTCCCCTTTGCATTTCTATTTTATTGTATTTTGTAGAGGATTTTGACAGTGTATTCACCGCTTCCCTTTTTCCTCCCAGCTCATTTGATCTATTGGTAAAGAACTTAAACCACAAGAATTACACCATGACGTTCAACAACCTTCTGAAGCCCATCTCTGTGGAAAACAGCTCACGGAAGGTTAGTGCTACCCATCCAATGAAGGCTAGCAATGGTGGAGGGATTTCTCTACTTTTATTTCCTGTCCTTTTTCTCCCTGCCAGAGATCATTGGGCTCTTGCGAGAAAAGAGGGCGATACCTGTCCTTGCCCTTTCAATCAAAAATAAACATGGCAGAGAGATAATATAAGGCCTGCAGCCAGGCCCATAGCCAGGATTTTGATTTGGGGGGGAGGGGGGTCTGAGTCTGAGCGAAAGAGGGTTTACCCTAGCAAACCTTTTGTATCGTTACCCCAATTACTTACTTACTTACTTACTTACTTAGGCGATCCCTCGTTGGACGAGTAAGATGGTCTTCCATGATGGGTTTCCTTGTGGGTTCTTAGGTGGCTGTGGAGCCCTGTTCTTGACCCGCATCTTCTCCCACAGTGAGGGCATTGGTTTCCAGGTGGAAGGCGGTCCCGGTCAGGGTTGCCTTGACGCGCCTTCCTCCTGGTACGTTTCTCTCTTTCACCCTCCACTCGTGCCTCCTCGAATTCTGCAGCACTGCTGGTCATAGCTGACCTCCAGCTGGAGCGCTCAAGGGCCAGGGCTTCCCAGTTCTCAGTGTCTATGCCAGAGTTTTTGAGGTTGGCTTTGAGCCCATCTTTAAATCTCTTTTCCTGCCCACCAACATTCCGTTTTCCGTTCTTGAGTTCAGAGTAGAGCAACTGCTTTGGGAGACGGTGGTCAGGCATCCGGACAACGTGGCCAGCCCAGCGGAGTTGATGGCAGAGGACCATCGCTTCAATGCTGGTGATCTTTGCTTCTTCCAGCACGCTGACGTTTGTCCGCTTGTCTTCCCAAGAGATTTGCAGGATTTTCCGGAGGCAGCGCTGATGGAATCGTTCCAGGAGTTGCATGCGACGTCTGTAGACAGTCCACATCTCGCAGGCATATAGCAGAGTTGGGAGGACAATTGCTTTATAGACAAGCACCTTGGTATCCCAACGGATGTCCCGGTCCTGAAAACACTCTCTGCTTCATTCGGGAAAATGCTGCACTCGCAGAGCTCAGGCGGTGTTGTATTTCGGTGTCGATGTTGACTTTGGTGGAGAGGTGGCTGCCAAGGTAGCAGAAATGGTCAACATTTTCTAATGTTACACCATTAAGTTGTATCTCTGGCATTGGGGAGGGAATGGATGGTGACTGCTGGAGCAGCACTTTGGTTTTCTCGATGTTCAGTGACAGGCCAAGCTTCGTGTATGCTTCTGCGAAGGTGTTTAGAGTGGCTTGTAGATCTTCTTCTGAATGCGCACAGACGACATTGTCATCAGCATACTGGAGTTCTATAACAGATGTTGTTGTAATCTTGGTTTTGGCTTTCAGTCTGCTGAGGTTAAACCCCAATACCCCCATGCATATGGGATATATTGATTATGGTGATCAGATCATGATAAATATACATAACAGTTTAAATGATGCACCAGTAAGGCCTTCTCGCGGACCACCATGAGAGTTTCGGGGGGGCTGAATCTCCCAACCCCCCCCCCCTCCGGCTACATGCCTGCCTGCAGCCAAGTGACAAAAGCCTGATTCTGAGTCACTGTGCCAGAACTAGTTGATGTGTTCATGCTTCTGAAAACCCAAGATGCATTTTTAAATACCCTAAAAGTCCTGTATTCCCTTTCAAAGCATGAATAGCCATTGGACATAAATCCCTTAACCTCGCTTTAGTCACTTTTAGCTCCCAGAGCTCTACTTCTTTCATTGTTTTAAATAATCCAAGTATTCTGCATCTTTCAAATGTAATAAACTGTGTGCTGTCCAGTACATCTCGCTTTTCTTTTATCACGTCTACTACTGCTTTCCTTCTCCTTAAAGGTCAAAACAGATATGGTCGTGATATTATGTAGGAAGAAGAAAGAGGAAAAATGGGAGTGTTTGACACAGGTTGAAAAAGAGAGTAAAGAGAAAGAGTAAGTGTGCCTTTACTTTACATGATTTCCAGTGGTAGCCACTTTTTCCTGTGTTCTTTATGTGACACTTATGATTGAACCAATCAAATGCTTTTAGCTTTTTGGTTTTTGCAAGATTGTCTCACGGGAACTTTAATGCCTAGGCATTATTTTAATTTCTTGTGTTGTATTTGCATGGCTTGGAGTATAAAATGGACAAAAGAAGATGTTAAAGCGTGCAAAATTCAAGCAGTTCAACGGGTTAAACCGTTGAACTGCTGAGCTTGTTAACTTGAAGGTTCGCAGTTCGAATCCGCTAGACGAGGTGAGCTCCGGCTGTCAGCCCCAGCTCCTGCCAATCTAGCAGTTCAAAAGCATGCAAATGTGAGTAGATCAATAGGTGGGAAGGTAAAAAGTCATGCCAGCTACATGTCTATGGACAACACAGGCTTCTCAGCATGGAAATGGAGACAAGCACCTCCTCCAGAGCCAGAAATGAGCACTGCCTCCAGAACCGGAGAGGAAAGGGGAAGCCTTTGCCTTTGTATTTGTGTTTTATTTTGTGTTTCAAAAGCATTGAATGTTTGGCTGTGGCTATATATATGCTGGAATCCACTCTGAGTCCACTCAGGGAGATAGGGCAGAATACAAATAAAGTGTTATATTATGTAAGCTCCCAGACATAGGTGTAGCTCCCAGACATTGGGCATCTGGTCATAAGAGGAGCTGTAGAAGTTTGGATTTGGAGGTCAGGAAATTTGGAAACATGAGTAGAGAAACAGGTCAGCATCCTTTAACAACCTTCCTTTTCAATTCTTACCAATTATCCAGTGAAATAAATAAATAAATAAATATTTACATAAATAAAACATTTATATTCCGCCCTTCTCACCCTGAAAGGGGACTCAGGGCAGAGCACAGCATATAAAACAGCAAACATTCAATGCCGGGACAAGAATTCATATACGCATATATAAACATTAAAAACATTTATCTCAATATTAAGATACACCATTTAAAACCGTCCTGGTCATCTGCGTCAAATCTAATTGGCCTGGTAATCTTTCCTATTGCACTGTCCCAAAAGCTTGGTCCCACAGCCAAGTTTTTACCATCTTTCTTAAGGACAGGAGGGAGGGGGGCGATCTGAAGGAAGGTGAGATCAGATAGCCAGGGGGCAATCACCCAGAAGGCCTTGTCTCTCGTCTCCACCAATCGCGCCTGTGACAATGGTGGGACGGAGAGCAGGGCCTCCCCGGAGGATCTTAATTTCTGCGATGGTTCATGGGGGAGATGTGTTCGGACAGGTAAATTTGGCCAGGGCCGTTTAGGGCTTTATAGACCAAAGCCAGCACTTTGAATTGTGCCCAGTAGCAAACTGGCAGCCAGTGGAGCTGGCGTAACATGGGAGTTGTATGCTCCCTGTATGCCGCCCCAGTTATTAACCTGGCTGCCTCTCGTTGGACTATTTGAAGCTTCCGAGCAGTCTTCAAAGGCAACCCCACGTAGAGTGCATTGCAGTAGTCTATTCTAGATGTAACAAGAGCGTGGACCACCGTGGCCAAGTCTGACTTCCCAAGTTATGGGCGCAGCTGGAGCACAAGTTTTAATTGCCTTGGTCTTTGTAAGCCGCATCGAGTCCTTCGGGAGATGCTAGCGGGGTACAAATAAAGTTAATAAATAATAATAATAATAACAACAATAATAATAATAATAATTGTGCAAAAGCTCCCTTGGCTACTGCTGCAACCTGGGATTTCAGGCTCAGTGATGAGTCCAGGAGGACCCCCAAGCTACGAACCTGTGCCTTCAAGGGGAGTGTAGGATTACAGTTGTCACTTAATTATGTTTGCTTGTTTGTTTTCAACTCCTACAAAGCCTTCGAAACTCAGGGTCTAAGCAGTAATACAATTTTCTGTGAATATTTCTACTTCAGGAAAGCTTCCTACGACACATCAGACCCTAATGAAGGATTGATGAACCTCCTCAAAAAGATGTATGCAGATGGAGATGATGAAATGAAGAGGTCAATCAACAAAGCCTGGGTTGAGAGCAGAGAGAAGCAAGCAAGAGACGAAATGCCAATCGATATCTGAAAAAAAAAAGGTTCAATACAAGGCTGCCATCACAGTGGGGTTTTTTTTTCTCTTCAGATGCAATGAAAGTGTTGTGTTTACAAAACAAACGCCAACACAAAGACTTTTAAGTTCTACATTTCGGAATAGAGATGGGGAAATAAAACATGAAACAAAGCTATTTCTTCAAGTATGCGATTCCTACTCATAAGGCTTTGGTGTTTTTTTCAAAACAGCCAAATATTAAAAGGATTTTTTGGGGGGGGGGGAGGGGAGAGAATATGGCAGCACCTTCTAAGAATAACTGGCTTTTATTTTTGCATGATCATTCATGGATATAAACCTGCATATAAAGCATATTTTTGTGGGATTGGGATATAATGTGATGGGACGTTTCTAGGTCCATTTACATTGCCGCACCCCAAGAACTTCAAATATACTTTATTTGGTCATAATACCACTTGACATCAATACTTTGAAATAAATTATATAACTCTGAATCTATGTCTTTGTTTTATGAAATCGAGGTCGGCATATACATGTCACTCTCTTTCTCTCTCTATATATATATATATACACACACACACATATATACTACAGAAGCACAAAAAACGTGCAATTCAGACATTGACAAGAAGAAATACGTTGCAGGACAGTTTCATGAGATGCAATCTTGGACCAAGCAAACCAAAAAACTGCTGATCAAGTTCTTTAGAGACTGAAAGTTTATTGTCCTTTAAAAGTATCTTAACTAGAGGACACATAAGTAAATACAAGGGCAGGCAGGTCCCACCTAAAGTTGATAGCAGTAATAGTTCAAAGGGATTTACAGGACCAAACACTATCCAGCTCATTCAACATATGACTTAAACTCTTACTTACTTAGGCAATCCCTCGTAGTCTGAGGATGATGGTCCTCCAAGTGTAGTATCCTGGCAGTGGGTCCATAGGTGACTGTGGAGCCCTATTCTTGATCTGCATCGTCTCCCACAGTGAGAGCATTGGTTTCTAGGTGGAAGGTGGTCCCGGTCAGAGTTGGCTTGACGCGCCTTCCTCTTGGCATGTTTCTCTCTTTTGCCCTCCATTTGTGCCTCTTCAAATTCTGCAGCACTGCTGGTCACAGCTGACCTCCAGCTGGAGTGCTCAAGGGCCAGGGCTTCCCAGTTCTCAGTGTCTATGCCAAAGTTTTTTAATAATAATTATAATAAAACTTTATTTATATACCGCTCTATCTCCCCGAGGGGACTCAAAGCAGTTCCCAGGTAAAAATCACAGAACATACAAAGTAAAAACAACATAACTATAACAACATAAGGTTGGCTTTGAGCCCATCTTTAAATCTCTTTTCCTGCCCACCAACATTCCATTTTCCATTCTTGAGTTTGGAGTAGAGCAACTGCTTTGGGACAACGTGGCAGGTCCAGCGGAGTTGAGGGCGGAGGACCTTCGCTTCAATGCTGGTGGTCTTTGCTTCTTCCATCACGCTGACATTTGTCCGCTTGTCTTCCCAAGAGATTTGCAGGATTTTTCGGAGGCAGCGTTGATGGAATCGTTCTAGGAGTTGCATGTGACGTGTGTAGACAGTCCACATTTTGCAAGCATATAGCATGGTTGGGAGGAGAATAGCTTTCTAAACAAGCACTTTGGGTGTCCCTACGGATGTTCCGGTCCTCAAACACTCTCTGCTTCATTTGGAAAAATGCCGCACTCACAGAGCTCAGGTGGTGTTGTATTTCAGTGTCAATGTTGACTTTGGTGGAGAGGTGACTGCCAAAGTAGTGGTCAACATTTTCTAATGTTACAACATTAAGCTGTATTTCTGGCATTGGAGAGGGATTGGCTGGTGACTGCTGGAAGAGCATTTTGGTTTTCTCAGTGTTCAATGACAGGCCTACTGAAAGTGTTAGTTTAATTGTAGACAGAGTAACTACTGTTTTCTATCAGCAAAGTGGGAAACAGATCATTCTGATCACAAGTATAGCATGGGAATGATTACAGTCTGAGTGAAATGTGAGGATCACTGCAATGGTAAAAAAATAACATGCCCCACAACTAAGAACCCTGTCTCTTATGGCTCTGGGCAACAGCAATCTATATAAAAAAATGTAATGTTCGTTTGTGGGATTAACAAAACTCATAAACCACTGGACGAATTCACACCAAATTTGGACACAATACACCTATCAGGCCAACAAGTGACCATCACTCATAAAAACATTGAAAAACACAGCAGAAGAGACTTTAAAAGCCAAAAAACAAAAAATACATTACAACGCAGGTGCAAAACTAGCAAACAAATACACACACACACATATATATACAAACACAAAACACATATACACAGACTGGGCCACAGCAACGCGTGGCAGGGGACAGATACTAATTCATACACTGGGAGGCAAAAACCCACAAAACAGCGAGCCGTGAAAAGTGAACCGCGAAAAGCGAACTGCGAAGTAGTGAGGGAACACTATATAAAATACACACACATACATTTACTGATAATAAATCATTAGGAAATTTATTTTAAAACCGTTATTTGGTATACAAATGTTACTGTTTATTAAAGGCAAAAAACAATTTGAATACTTACTTCTACATAAAGAATTATGGTAAGTTTTGGCTAACATGGCAGGACATATACCTTCAACATTTTTTCATGCTGTTTGCAGCCTCAAGTGTCATAATATATTCTGTTGGCTCTTTCCCCCCTCCTGAATTGGGGGACCACAATAGGGTGTTTCTGGGGTCCACATTTCCAGGTTTGAGGGGCCATGTGCCTGAAATGTATCCAGATCTACCTCCCATCAGGATTTCATAGAATTGCAGAGTCAGAAGGGACCAGCAACCTCATTCTGCCAGGAAGAAAAACTCAATCCAAGCCCTCCTGACAGATGGCCATCCAGCCTCTGCTTAAAACTCTCCAGAGAACACTCCACCAGATGTCACGAAGGCATATTCTACTTTCAAACAGCTCTAACAGTCTTAATGTTTAGTTATAATCTCTTTTTATGTGAATCCATTGCTACATGTCTTGGTTTCTGGGGCAGCAGAAAACAAGTTTGTCTCCTCAATATGGCATGTTATCAAATATTTAAATATAGTAATCATGTCTCCTCTGTTCCAATGCATACACACAATCCATATCCTGTCCTCTGCCCCAAAATAAATAGGTTGCCTTAACCCCTCCCTGTACAGCAATGGTTTTCAACCTATGGGTCCCCAGATATTTTGGCCTTCAACTCTCAGAAATCCAAACAGCTGGTAAGCTGGCTGTTTAAGGAGCTCCACTGGCTGCCATTCATTTTCCGGTCCCAATTCAAGGTGCATGTTTTTACCTACAAAGCCCTGAACGGATTGGGATCCGCCTACCTGRGTGACCGCATTTCTGTATACGAACCCACAAGATCTCTTCGATCATCTGGAGAGGCCCTGCTCACYCTCCRGCCTCTTTCACAGGCGCGATTGGTGGGAACGAGGGAGAGGGCCTTCTCGGTGGTGGCCCCCCGACTCTGGAACTCACTTCCCAGAGACATCAGACATGCCCCAACTCTGGCAGTCTTTAGYAGGAGCTTGAAAARGTGGTTGTTCCAGTGTGCCTTCCCAGAATAAYGAAAACTCTCAGCATTATGTCCTCAAAATGCACTTTACTACTGCRTTAYYARTGARTGCARTCCCTRATTGCTCTCTAAAAATCCTATCCCAATTATATCCTACCTGGTTCACATCAGSACTATTTTTTAATTTTAATCTATCACATTTGGCCCYYCCTTTGGTTTTAAATGTTTATATGTTACTGTTGATTGCTTATTGTCTATTTTGTTTATGTGATTATGATTTATATTGCATTGATTGTTTATTGATGTTCTGTTTATTGATGTATTGCGGGCTTGGCCTCATGTAAGCCGCACAGAGTCTCTTGGGGYGATGGTAGCAGGATACAAATAAAGTGTTATTATTATAATTATATTATTTCTGGGAGTTGTAGACCAAAATACCCGGGGACCCACAGGTTGAGAACCATTGCTGTAGAGCTTGTAGGCAAATTCTTCTTGGACTCTTAATGGCAGATGACTGGCGTTTTAAAAATCTCAATTGAGGATTGTTTATGAACCCAACTTATCTCTTTTAGAATCAGAATTTGAAAGGAGATATTTCTGAAACTGAAAAGGTAGCCATTAAGCAAAATCAGCATTTGCAAGGCTTGAAAACAAAGCAAGCTGTTTCTTCTCTTTTTTTATGAAGTACATTTTCCGCACACCACTGCTAACAGATTCATGATCCTAAAGCAGTCACTAGATGGCACACTGATACCAAACATCCTGGGACGTGATCCACAGTTTAAGACAGTGGTTCTCAACCTTCCTAATGCCACGACCCCTTAATACAGTTCCTCATGTTGTGGTGACACTCAACCATAAAATTATTTTTTTCACTACTTCATAACTGTAATTTTGCTACTGTTATGAATTGTAATGTAAATATCTGATATGCAGGATGTATTTTCATTCACTGGACCAAATTGGGCACAAATACCCAATTCGCCCAAATTTGAATACCGGTAGGGTTGGGGAGGATTTATTTTGTCATTTTGGAGTTGCGGTTGGTGGGATTTATAGTTCATCTACAATCAAAGAGCATTCCGAACTCCACCAACAATGAAATTGAACCAAACTTGGCACACAGAACTCTCGTGACCAACAGAAAATACTGGAAGGGTTTGGTGGGCATTGACCTTGAGTTCTGGAGTTGTAGTTCACCAACTTCCAGAGAGTACTGTGGACCCAAACAATGATGGATCTGGACCAAACTTGGCACCAATACTCAATATGCCCAAATGTGAACACTGGTGGAATCTGGGAAAATAGACATCTGGGAGTTATAGTTGCTGGGATTTATAATTCACCTGTAATCAAAGCATTCTGAATCCCACCAAGGATAGAATTGGGCCAAACTTCCCACACAGAACCGCCCATGATCAACAGAAAATACTGTTTTTTCTGGTGGTCTCTGGCGACCCCTCTGACATCCCCTGGTGACCCCCCCCCAGAGGTCCCGACCCCCAGGTTGAGAAACACTGATCTAGAGCCCTCTGCTGTGCTTAATGCTTCATTTGTAGTCCCCATTCTTGGACTACACCATCTCACCTTCTATAGTCCATTTAGCAACTTAATCAGAAAGATGTGACAACAACCGTTATCTGAATATCATATGAAAGTTTATTTGAACGCATGTGATACTCCTTTTTTAGGTTTGTTACAGCACATTACCTGTAATACATTACGATGTTACAACATTACATTGAACCAAATATGCGGTTAGTTTTTTGTGTCACCTTTATGATAAATATTGGATTGTAAATCTTGAAAATAATCAAACAAGTACTTTTCCGTGCAGCAGTTATGCGCCAATTTGTACTTCTCCTCTTTGTAGCCTTCAAACTACCGATTGTAGGAGTTCAAATGGGTCTCAGTTTTGTCTTCTCCAACGAAAACCATTATTTGCAGCTCACCAAATTGCTCTCTGCACTCCAGAGAGCTGGGCATGGTCAGCCAGGTGACGGAAGACAATTCGGCTGAGCCTCCATCGCCACACCACGCCTCGTGGACGGGACGTCAGGACACACCTGTTGCGTATCCTCACAGGGCAGCTGTCACGGGGCAAAGCAGCAATCTCTTTACTGGCCACTTCCTGAGGGGAAACATTAAAATTACAGTTTCATACCATCAAGATCTCATTTTTTTTTAAAGGGGAAAAAATGTCTATTTGGAGGCCTGGGCTGGCTTCACATTAATCACAAAAAAGAAGGAGGAAGAGGAGAATTTTGTATGATTGATGTGAACCTGGCTCAAATTTTTAGGTGGACATAGTGATACTAATGTATATAAATAAAAATGTAATGTTCATTTGTGGGATTAAAAGAACTCAAAAACCACTGGACAAATTGACACCAAATTTGGACACAAGACACCTAACAACCCACTGTATGTCCTTCACTAAAAATGAATTTGTCATTTGGGAGTTGTAGTTGCTGGGATTTATAGTTCACCTACAATCAAAGAGCATTCTGAACCCCACCAACGATGGAATTGAACCAAACTTGGCACACAGTTCTCCCATGACCAACAGAAAACACTGGAAGGGTTTGGTGGGCATGTCCTTTGGTTGTAGTTTACCTCCAGAGATCACTGTGGACTCAGACAATGATGGATCTGGACCAAACTCTACAAATACTCAATATGCCCAAATGTGAACCCTGGTGGAATTGGGAAAATAGCTTGACATTTGGGAGTTGTAGTTGCTGGGATTTATAGTTCACCTAACATCAAAGAGCATTCTGAACCCCACCAACGATAGAATTGGGCCAACCTCCCACACAGAACCCCCATGTGGGCCACAGCAACGTGTGGCAGGGGACAGCTAGTCTATATAAATAAAAATGTAATGTTCGTTTGTGGGATTAACTGAACTCTAAAACCACTGGACAGATTGACACCAAATTTGGCCACAAGACACCTACTAACCCAAGGAGTGACCATAAATCATTAAAATTGATTATGTCATTTGGGAGTTGCAGTCCTGGGATTTGTAGTTAAACTACAATCAAAGAACATTCTAAACTCCACAAATGATGGAACTGAACCAAATATGGCCCACAGGACTTCCATGACCAACAGAAAACACTAGAAGGGTTTGGTGGGCATTGACCTTGAGTTTGGAAGTTGTAGTTCACCTACATCCAGAGAGCACTGTGTACTCAAATAATGATGGATCTGGACCAAGCTTGGCACGGATACTCCATATGCCCAAACATGAACATAGATAGAGTTTGGGAGAAATAGACCTTGAAAATTGGGAGTTGTAGTTACCTACAATCAAAGGGCATTCTGAACTCCACCAATGACAGAATTGAGAGAACTTCCCACACAGAACCCCCATGACCAACAGAAAATACTTAAGGCCATTGACTCCAATCCCTTCACCAGGTTAAGTAAATGTAATCAAAGCCCTCCTGACAAAGAGCCATCCAGCCATAGATATAGATAGATATATATGAATCACACACAAACACAGATATAGTATCATATTGTTATTGTTATAAAAAAGCAGACAAATCTATTCTCTGGTGAGATATAAAGGTTGAAGCAGGTATCAAACAGCATGAAAACTTTTTGAACATGCATATCTTTTGCTTTCAAATTTGCTAATTCTCTTTTTCTTCTCAAGATAGATTTTACCCTTCTTAAATGGAAAATATACAGGGATCCTAAACCAGATCCATAACAGCATAACTATATCCTGGCTTTTGCAATATAACCACCTCTGCTTTCAATCATCATAATGCTCATCATAGTTAATACCTTCTAGTGTTTTTTTTCTTGTGTGGGCAGTGAAGACAATATATATACTGCCAGGTTTTCAGTCGGTTTTATTTGTGTATTATGCTATCTTTTGTTTGTTTCTACAGTCTCATTTTCCTTTCTTGTATTTTGTGCTATTGTTATAAACCACCTTGAGGGCATTTATGGAGGAGGTGCTCGAAGGCAGTATGAAAATGTCTTTATAAATAAACAATTAAAAAAATCTCAAAGGCCCCATCTGTACTCACCACTTAATGCTGTTTGAAGCTAGGCAGAGGTGGTGTTTAATTTGTCTTTCAGTTTAGATGCCCTTCCAACCCCCTTTCTTATGACAGGGTCCCCTTGCCCACATATTTTGAGCAAACTACTATGAAACAGCATGCACTTTCACAATAAAAGATTAAAATAAGATTTGATTTTTCTATATAGCAGAGGAGATGCTGACATAGAATCACAGCCCAAAGCCTCAAGGCATGAGGGAGTCATTGAAATGTTGAATTGAAGGAAGGACACTATACCAGTGCTTTCAGTAAATAGTAAGGTCCGCTCTAAGAAATGTTTGCAAAGACAGGGCAAAATCCTCAGGGAACTGAAAGGTTTTAATGGTCATCAATTTAATGCAGTACAAAGTGCTTCATGCTGCCTTCTTCTTACACCTAATTGGATCCTTTTGGCTAGATATTATACTGACTAGGTAAAAGTAAAGGTTTCCCCTGACATTAAGTCCAGTTGTGTCCAACTCTGGGGGTTGGTGCTCATCTCCATTTCTAAGCTGAATAGCCGGCGTTGTCCTTAGACACCTCCAAGGTCACGTGGCCAGCATGACTGCATGGAGTGCCGTTGCCTTCCTGCCGGAGCGGAACCAATTGATCTACTCACATTTGCATGTTTTTGAACTGCTAGGTTGGCTGAAGCTGGGGCTGACAGCGGAAGCTTACACCGCTCCTCGGATTCGAAGCTGCGACCTTTTGGTCAACAAGCTCAGTGGTTTAACCCACTGTGCCACCGGGAGCTCCATTATACTGACTGGTATACTGGAAATGCAAGCACATAGATTCTAGAAAAATGTTTTCAATCGATGTTGGGAACAATTTTACATTGATCTATTTATTCTTTGCTCATTTTCTCTGCAGACAAAAATAGCAACCACTTTGGTGTCACCTTCTGTACCATTACTAACGGTGTAGCTGCTCAGGTCTTTTAAACTGTAGGAAATCAATCAATGGACATAACTGAATTGCAGCACAAAATTACACTGGCCAACAGACATTTTGATGCCTCAAATGTTAGCACTGTTTCTAGGTATATTTGAACTCCTGATTCCAAAAATACATCAGCTTTCCCTTATCAGCTCTGGTTTCCGAGATACAGAACATATGCCATACACCAGTCTTTAATAATAATAATAATAATAATAATAATAATAATAATAATAATAATAATCTTTATTTATACCCTGTCACCATCTCCCCGAAGGGACACAGGGCAGCTAACATGAAGCCAAGCCCAAACGAAATTACAATAAAGCAAAAACATATATATATATATTCACATAAAATACTTAGTAATAACATAGTAAAATAAAAATAACAAAATCATAATAAAACAAATGATAAAATGGTAATAGAATTAGACAACGAGAGTGAGGCCCATGACTAAAAGTGAATAGAAATTGATAAAACCCATAGGTGAGATAGGTAGAGTGCTATGATTTAAGAGGGGGCTTGGACGGGCTAAAAGTGGAATAAAACTTCAACTGAGAGATAAGGTGCAGAACATCAGGAAGACAAGTTGGACTTGGGACAGGGCATGGCATGGAAATTGGTAGTTCAGTCCCCAAAGGTTTTTAAACTTTTTCTAAAGGCTGTCAGGGTAGATGCCTGTCTAATCTCCGTGGGGAGTGCTTTCCAGAGCCGGGGGGCCACCGCGGAGAAGGCCCTCTTCCTCGTCCCCACAAGATGCGCCTGTGACAGAGGCGGGAATGAGAGGAGGGCCTCACCTGAAGATCGAAGAGATCGTACAGGTTCGTAGGAGGAAATGCAATCACGAAGGTAGGCGGGTCACAAACCATTCAAGACTTTGTAGGTGATAACCTGCACCTTGAATTGGGACCAGAAAATAAATGGCAGCCAATGGAGCTCCTTAAACAGGGGGGTAGACCGCTCCCTGTATTTTGCTCCAGTTAGGAGTCTGGCTGCCAAAGTTTCCAGGCCGACTTCAAGGGCAGCCCCACGTAGAGCACATTGCAATAGTCCAATATAGAGGTAACTAAGGCACCCATGAGAAATCATGATAACTGTATCTAAGAAACTAAAGCTGATGTGTTCTATCTAATTGCAGTTCTCTGAATCAGCATCTCAAATAACTCCAGGAACAGAGCTAAATAATGTGTTAGACACAAAAAATTTATTTTGTTGGACTGTGTTATTAATGGAATAAAGAGATTTAATAATACTTAGAAAAGGTTTCTTGCAAGATGTAATAAACTGTTATACTTGGGGTGTGGGGGGTTGACGGACTATAAGCTCTATTGCCAATATCCAGAATACACTAAGCAGAGGAGTTTCCTTTTTACCTGTAGTTCTTTAGGCAAAATTTTGTTTTTCCGAAGGGCATTCAGCCGTAGTCTCTGGTCTGCATACTCAAAGGCCATTCTTCTCCTCTTGACATCACGGAGCATCCTCCAGTCCACGTAATAACTCCTTACTTGACCGAAGCCTGGCATGCAAGATATCTATCATAACAAAACGTAATCACAATGAAAGAAGCTGGTGGGCTGGACATCCATTAATACAAAGCTCATTCTTTTTTTGGACAGGATTTTTTTATTCAAGAAAGCAAATCTACGAACATAAACATATACAGAGAAACAAATTAAACAAAGCAAAAGATTGTTGTAAGTTTTTTGGTCTGTATGGCCATGTTCCAGAAGCATTCTCTCCTGACGTTTCGCCTGCATCTATGGGAGGCATCCTCAGAGGGTGTGAGGTCTGTTGAAAACTAGGAAAATGGGGTTTATATATCTTTGGAATGTCCAGGGTGGGAGAAAGAACTTGTCTGTTGGAGTGTGGTGGAGGCTCCTTCTTTGGAAGCTTTTAAACAGAGGCTGGATGGCCATCTGTCAGGGGTGATTTGAATGCAATATTCCTGTTTCTTGGCAGGGGGTTGGACTGGATGGCCCATGAGGTCTCGTCCAACTCTTTGATTCTATGATTCTAGGTGTGAATGTTGCAATTGGCCACCTATCTCCAACAACTGGCTTCCACAGATGCAGGCAAAACATCAGGAGAGAATGCTTCTGGAACATGGCCATACAGCCTGAAAAACTTACAACAACCCAATGATTCCAGCCATGAAAGCCTTCAACAATACATAAAGACAATATCAGTGGATGTTCTCTGAATGCTCCTGTAAATAATCTGGCTGCCATGTTTTGAACTAACTGATGATGATGATGATGATGATGAAACTTTATTTATTGCCTGCCCTATCTTCCCGAAGGGACTCTGGGCGGCTCACAACAAAATAGACAATGGCAAACATTCAATGCCGACAGTAGTATATAAGCAAAGCAATAAACAAATCAAGAACTATTTGATAAATTATAAACCAACATAGATGAACGAGACATAACATAATCTACATAATTACGAACATTAAATTCTTAAAATATCATTTAAAGTCTCTAAAAGCGCTATTGGATAATGCTTTTAATTAGGGGACTCAAATAGATACATGTTTTTATTAATATTGATTGTTTTACTTGTTTTTATATTTAAATTAACTGTTTTTAATTGTATTTTATGTCTTTGATACTGACTGTAAACCGCCCTGAGTCGCCTGCAGGCTGAGAGGGGCAGTATATAAATGTAATAAATAAATAAATAAATAAAATTAGGCTAAAATTGTTCGGTGAGAGATGGGAAACAGCAAGTTACCATGGTGGCTGCTAGCAGCTAGGTTAGGTGCAAATAGATGGACTTAATCCTCCTAATTGGAGTTTCTGAACTTTGTACAGACATAACCCAATGTAAAGCACATTGCAGAATGTAATCTTAATAGTATTTCTTGTATTTTAATTGTATGTAAACTTTATATCCACATACTTTTTTCATTTTTATGTTTGTTTAATTTTTTATTAGATTGTGTGGTTGTTATTGCCCTACGGGAGAAAGATGGGATGTAAATAAAGTTAATAATAACACTATCTAATATGATTTTTGTTCCTGGGTTATAAATGCTATTTCCTGATTGGTTCTCTCATAAAAACATGGGGAAAGTTTATTAAACTCTAAAAACTTTTATTTCTGTGGGACATCCTGTAGCACATTTTGCTCTAGTTTTTCAATGAATATCTCATCACGTCTTGACCAATTCAACATAGTTTGAGGCAGACACAAAAATGAAGTTTGTGGAGTAGAACATGTACTTGCAAAGTAAGTGTCACAAAATTGCAAAGTAAGTGCCACAAAACAAGAAATAATGCTTTCAAACCAGAAACAGTTTTTTTTCAATTTTGTAACATAGTTCAATAATCTAAATGATGATGATGATGATGATAATAATAATAATCTAAAGCCCCTGATGGAGCAGTGGGTTAAACCCCTGTGTTGACAGGACTGAAGACTGACAGGTCGCAGTTGAATCCGGAGAGAGCGCGGATGAGCTCCCTCTATCAGCTCCAGCTCCTCATGTGGGGATATGAGAGAAGCCTCCCACAAGGATGGTAAAAACATCAAAAAACATCCGGGCAACCTCCTTGCAGACGGCCAATTCTCTCACACCAGAAGCGACTTGCAGTTTCTCAAGTCTCTTCTGACATGACAAAAAAAAATCTAAAGCAATCATCCTCACCCCTATAACACCACTATAACGCACACCACACATACAACCATAAAAGGTAATCCATCAGCCTTCCAGGCAGGCCCTATATCCCAGGATCTGATCCCAGGTTTTCTGCTTTAAACTGGATTATATGAGTCCCCACTGCCTGATAATCTGGGATAAACAGAAAACCTGGAATCAATAATCAACAAACTATGGGCCCGTCCAGATAGGCCCTATATCCCAGGATCTGATCCAGGTTTTCTGCTTTTAACTGGATTATATGAGTCCTGACTGCCAGATAATGTAGGATAAAAAGAAAATCTGGGATCAATAATCAACAAACTATGGGCCCTTCCAGACAGGCCCTATATCCCAGGATCTGATCCCAGGTTTTCTGCTTTAAACTGTATTATATGAGTCCCTACTGCCAGATAATGTAGGATAAACAGAAAATCTGGGATCAACTATCAACAAACTATGGGCCTTTCCAGATAGGCCCTATATCCCAGGATCAGATTCCAGGTTTTCTGTTTATCCCAGATTATCTGGCAGTGGAGACTCATATAATCTATTTTAAAGCAGAAAACCTGGGATCAGATCCTGGGATATAGGGCCTGTCTGGAATGGCCCCCTCTCTCCTAGATGGTTTCAGCTTCTCAAATTTCCCATTCACTATATAGTCACCCTTTTACTATTAACAGCAGTTAACCGGAGCCCCCGGTGTCGCAGTGGGTTAAACCGCTGAGCTGCTGAACTTGCTGACCGAAAGGTCACCGGTTCAAATCCAGGGAGCAGGGTGAGCTCCTGCTGTTAGCCCCAGCTTCTGCCAACCTAGCAGTTCGAAAACATGCAAATGTGAGTAGATCAATAGGTACTGCTCCATGGCAAGAAGTCATGCCGGCCACATGACCTTGGAGGTGTCTAAGGACAACCCCGGCTCTTCGGCCTAGAAATAGAGATGAGCACCAACCCACAGTGTCAAATACGACTGGACTTAATGTCAGGGGAAAACTTTTACCTAACTTTTTAATAGCCTTATTTACTAAGAGGGTAGTTTAGGATAGAAGGCCACACACTCCAAACAATCTACTCCCTTCCTGCACAAAACAGAGATGAGGTGCCTTTGTCCTCAAAGAGAGAAATGATTCGGCTGCTGATCAAAGACAAAATACCAAACAGCACTCTCCCCCACGAGCAGAATGGCACAATCCAGCAGTCGAGGCAACTAAAGCACGGGAGGAGGGGTCGGACGGTACCAAGTAAGGATGCGCGGGGGGAGGAGGAGAGGAAAGAAGTCCCCGTTCACCTGTTGATGCGCCTGCCGCACCATCGACAAAACTGCTGCGGCTGCCATCTTTGTGTCCCACAATGCTGTGAGTCGACGGAGCGATACTGAGCAACTGGGCATGCGCATGAAAAGGGCAGTGAAGGGAAAGATGGGAGTGCGCATGCGTAAAGGAGGGTTTCTGCTCCTGAGATAGGAAGGGTGTTTGGAGACTGGGGTTGCTTGTATAATCAATAGTCTAGCTCTGTGTGATCAATTCGAGAAACTCAAATTTGTACAGGCTTGCCAGACATTCACGGTGTATGCACACTGTAGAATTAATGAGGTTTGATTATATGAGTCTCCACTGCCATATAATCTGGGATAAAATAATCTGGATTTTATATGGCAGTGTAGAAGGGGCCTTTGGTCCCACTTAGCTATACAGGGCTCAACGCTATGGTTTTACAAGATCTATAGCCTCTCTGCCAGATAACCAAATCGATCGTCTATACCATCTGCTTTGAACTGGATTATGTGAGTCTACACTGCAATATAATCCAGTTCAAAGTAGATACAACAGCAAAACAACAGGGAGTAAACAATCAGGCACATCAAATCACTCTCAACAAAAGATTCCCCCAGGCACTTCCAAGCCATTAAATGCTAATCAAGGTGGTCAGTTGAAACATTCACACCTAGCTCCAGCAGACAAGAGTCCTTTGTCCCACCCTGGTCATTCCACAGATATATAAACCCATTTTCCTACTTCCAACAGGCCTCACTACCTCTGAGGATGCTTGCCATAGATGCAGGCGAAACGTCAGGAGAAAATGCCTCTAGAACATGGCCATATAGCCCAGAAAAACCTACAACAACCCAGTGATTCCGGCCATGAAAGCCTTCGACAATACATCAAAGTAGATAATCTGGGTTTTATATGGCAATGTAGAAGGGGCTTTTGGTCCCTTCCACTCAGCCACACAACACAGGGTCCTTCCACACAGAGATATAACCCAGAATATCAAGGCAGAAAATCTTACAATATCTACTTTGAACTGGGTTATCTGAGTCCACACTGCCATATAATCCAGTTCAAAGCAGATATTATGGGATTTTTTGTCTTGATATTCTGGTTATATGGCTGTATGGAAGGGCCCCCGAATATCAAGGCAGATAATCCATAATGCGTGCTTTGAACTGGGTTATCTTGAGTACACACTGTCGTATAATCTAGTTCAGTGTGGATTTTATACAACTGTGTGGAAGGGGCCTTTGTCGTTCTCTGTACGTCTGCACAATGTCACATTCAGTTCATAGACCTATCCAGATTTCTCAACCATTCTTTTTAGTATACACAATTTTTAAAAAAAATTAAGGAAAAGGAGGTGTATATAGCTGCACAGTCCCTTTTGATTACACTATGTAACATGCTTTATGTTACTGGGTTAAAATGTCATTTCTTAATTGAGTCTATCATAAAAACATGGGAAAAGGTTATTAAAGTGCAAATACTTTGTTTTGGCATGTCATACTACAGCAAGCACATCATGCTCTAGTTTTTCAATGAATATATCATAGACTAGAGTGTCAACCAATTCAACATAGTTTTTGACAGCCACACAAAGGAAGCTTGTGGAGTATAACAATGACTTTCAAAGTAAGTATCACACAATTAAACAGGAAATAACACTTTCAAACCAGAAACAGAACATTTTTAACAGTTTTGTTACATAGTGTTATTACTTATTGAAATGCTTGGAGTCCAGAAGTACCCAAAGTAACATACTGCGTTGTGAAATGTCCTCGTTTCCAGGGGTACACTACTCAGTTTCAGTAACACCTTTGGCAAGGTTTCCCATGGCATTCTCATAAAAAAATAAAAATAAAAAACCTAATAAAATGTGGACCAGACAATGCTACTGTTAGATGGATTGGGAACTGGTTGACTGGCCGAACCCAAAGAATGCTCACCAGAGAAATAACTAGTGGGGTGTTACAGGGTGCAGTCCTGGGCCCTGTGCTATTCAACATCTTTATCAATGATTTCGACTACAAAATATAAAGCATGCTTAACAAATTTGCAGATGACACCAAATTCAGAGGGATCGTCACAGGGATCATCACTCATGGCCAAGTATAATTGTCTTCCATATATCGGATCTTGGTGGTCGGTCCGAAGGTGATTGTAGAAACCTATTCTGGATTCACATGTAGAGTAACTGCTTTGGGAGACGGTGATCGGGCATTTGGACAATGTGGACAGTCCAGCAAAGTTGGTGGCATAGGATCAACACTGCATGGCAGGGGGCTGGACTAGATGACTCTTGTGGTCTCTTCCAACTCTATGATTCTATTCAGCTTTGATTAACAAGAAGTCCTGTTTTGGTGTGTAATCAGTTTTCTCTTGGATTCTATAATTTATCATTTTTTTTGCCTCTTTGTTTATGATATTATTGATGCAATTTCCCCTAAAATCTTACTAGTTATCCAGTCAGACTTCAAATTGTATCCTTTGACCTGGGACTCTCATCTTCTCATACTATTTCTTGTTTAATTCTCAATTGTTTTAGGGGTTTCATGGTAAGAGACATTTGAAAGGGATTTATTGTCACTTCTTCTGAGCAGCGCTAACAAGTGTTAACTACAGTGCCACTACCCTTCTATACTGCCATATAAAATCCAGATTGTCTGCTTTGAACTGGATTATATAGCAACATAGACGCATATAATCCAGTTCAAAGCAGATAAAGTGGATTTTCTGCTTTGATAATCTAGATCAGGGGTCCACAAACTTTTTAAACAGAGGGCCAGGCCATAGTCCCTCAAACTGTTGGAGGGCCAGATTTTAATTTGTAAAAAAATTGAATTAATTCCTATGCACAGTGCACATACCTTATTTGTAGTGCAAACAACACTTTAGAACAATAGAATAATTAAAATGAAGAACAATTTTAACAAATATAAACTTATTAGTATTTCATTGGGAAGTGTGGGCCTGCTTTTGGCTGATGAGATAGGATTGTTGTTGTTGTTGTTGTGTGCTTTTAAGTCGTTTCAAACTTAGGTTGACCCTGAGCAAGGGCCAGGTAAATGACCTTGGAGGGCCGTATTTGGCCCCCGGGCTGTAGTTTGAGGACCCTGATCTAGATTATATGGCAGTATAGAAGGGGCCTGAGAGATCATCCGCCATTGTCATCTCCCATTGATGCTGCTGTCCAGTAATTATTTTGCACATTTAGTCTGGTTCCTCAACAAAAGACTGTCTGACATTGGAGACCCTACCAGCAACACTTCTGCTGTTGGCATAATCTATTTCCTCACAGAAGTACACAATCCTACCATCTCAAAAGGCAGTGCCATGGTTAGTTCATATTGAGTCATAAACCACAGCGCCTCATATCATTATCATTATTCAAACTGCTATCTATCAATTTGTTTTCAAAATTCCACTCAAAACAGGCATAATAATTATTGAGGCTACATTTAATGTGGTGAAATGCTCTGCAAATTTGCTGCCCTTGCTTATTACTAAGTAATCCAATACTTTTAAAAAAGTATTGTATTTTCCAGCATATAAGACGACTGGGCGTATAAGACGACCCCCAATTTTTCCAGTTAAAATATAGAGTTGGGGATATAATTGCCGTATAAGACTACTCCTCTTCCAATGCATGCCAAATAAAAATTTAAAAAGCATCTGATTTGATTTCAATATGGTAATTTTCCTATTACTGTACCTCCTTCTCGCACCTGCGCACCTGCACCACTTCACTGCAGTCTTCAGGAGCGAGATCTGAGAGGCAGAGGAGGAAGTACGGTAATACGGTACGGTGGGCCGAAAAGGTAAAAGAGGTGTGTTTTTCTGGGCTCAGAGCCACTCTATCTATTTTTTCCATACCCTGGGTGCCCCAGACGCCTGCAGCTTGCTCCGCCTTTCATTTACATCTTCCCGGTGAGGCGCCCCTTCACCTCACTATCAGGACCGCATTCAGTCCACGAATCCTGATGGATGGATTTTCTTCTACCGTACTGTGATGAAGCATTGATTTTTAACTGTAAGTTAAGCGTAGTTATGTATATGTGTCTCTACAGTTAAATATGATTGTATGTATGTGTGTGTGTGTGTGTGTATGTGTGTATGTATATATATATATATATATATATATATATATACATTAGAAAAAAATGCTGTGCTCGCAGAGCTCAGACGGTGTTGCATTTCGGAGTGGTAGCTGCCTAGGTAGCAAAAATGGTCAACATATTCTACTGTTACATCATGAAGCATTTTTGCTGGCATTTTAGAGGGATCGGTTGGTGCCTGTTGGCAGAGCATTTTGGTTTTCTCAATGTTAAGTGAGAGGCCAAGCTTTTCATATGCTTCTGCGGAAATGTTTAAAGTGATTCGTAGGTCTTCCTCTGAATGAGCACAGACTACATTATTATCAGCATACTGGAGTTCTGTAACAGAAGTTGTTGGGACCCTCCTTTTGGCTTTCAGCCTGTTGCGGTTCCACCAGTGTGAAAATATGTGATTTCCACACTGGTGGGAAGTTCCCTGTCAACAAGGTACATGATCATTACTATGAAGATAGAAAATAAGGTTGGCGCAATGATGTATCCCTGTTGAAACATGATGCCATGTTAAATGAGTCACTTTGGGAACAGTTACTGTCTAAGACTGTTGCTGTCATATAATAATGGAGGAGGCTAGCAATAATTTTGCATCCAAACATTTATCGTATATGGGCCACTCCCCACAAGCCATTGGATGGCTGAGGTTTCTGCGACTTAAGAGGCTACAGAATATGTCCGAGGGAGGCTTTGGGCATTGTGGAGGAAGAAAAGAAGTGCTAACCTTCATGGGACTCAAAAAAGGGATATGTCTACATCCATACATAGAATCATAGAATCATAGAATCAAAGAGTTGGAAGAGACCTCATGGGCCATCCAGTCCCCCCTGCCAAGAAGCAGGAATATTGCATTCAAATCACACTGACAGATGGCCATCCAGCCTCTGTTTAAAAGCTTCCAAAGAAGGAGCCTCCACCACACTCCGGGGCAGAGAGTTCCACTGCTGAACGGCTCTCACAGTCAGGAAGTTCTTCCTCATGTTCAGATGGAATCTCCTTTCTTGTAGTTT